CATTCAATTGAATTATACAATTCATTCGTTCTTTGCCAAGTGGGTTTGAAATTCATCGTTCATTTGGTAAATTTATTTTTCCCATCTTGAACTAGCCGAAGATTTAATTAACTTTATGGAATGATTTTTTATGATATGTTAAAATCAGGTCAGCATGTCAAGTTAGATATTTATATGTCAAAAATAATAATAAATGAAAAAACTGTTTTTTTACTCAAATCTATTTAAATCTACATAATTATGTCATGGAATGTTAAAATAAATGGCGTTCAACACAGTGAAAAACATTGACAAATAAATTAGTATTAACTTTATAAAAAAATATTAAACTTATGTATTTACTTATATATACAATCAAAGGGAACAAGAAACTCAACTAAGCCGCAAAAATATTTTCCGTTTTAAACAAGAAAAATACAGCTAAACAATTAAAAAATCTAAAAACAAAATACATTTTTAGCGGCTCTCCCAACGAAATAAGCACCTTAGGGTAATTTCTAACTGCCGATCTCTGAGACTTTCAATGGTTACTCAACCTTTAGTAAAAATTAAGTTTCTGAATGCAATGTCTAAGAGCTGTGTTGTAACCATTGACTCTGAGTACGGCGTTAAGAGACTTTTGATAATATCCAATAAGATCCATAATCGATATTTAGTACCGTGTGGTGCCTTCAAAATACAATACTTGGTGGCGTAAGAACCGACTAAGCAACTGTAGGTATATTGTTCAGCTCAAGTTGAGAGTTAAGCGCAATAATGTACCGTGTCCTTGGCCTGAAGCTGGAGAGGGAAATGGATGGTGTTTAGTCAGTCACAGAGAAAACTTGATGGTTTCCCCCACCTAATAACGGAGAAAGAGATCGGGCAGCGGTGATCTTTGATAAATGCGAATATTTGATACTGTGATCTCGAAACGCAATTGTGGCAAACAGTTCTTATGAAGAACGAGACCATTGTCGAAGCTCGGATTATTAAAATAAAAAGGGATAGCAATGATGAATATCCTTTGAAAGATTGATTTTGCCATAAAATCGATGTCTTCGTTACACAGTAAGTTACTTTTTACAAAAAGATTCAGCGTCAATCACCACAAGCTTAGATATTTTTAAGGGTTATTGGATATTACCAAAGTCTACAAACTCAACAAATACAAAATAATTCGACTAAACACGACTAATGACTAGAAAACTTGACTATTCGCAGTTACATTATCAAACACTTACATTCAATAACAATTACAATTTAAAAAATGAAATAAAAAACAAATGAACTGGAAAAAGAAATACATTTTAAATGAAAAATTAATCCAACTGTTATTTTATTTCATTTTTTTAATTGTAAAATGCTATTTAAGCCGGCACGTTTCGCAAAACGCGACAAAAAGGCATTATTCAAAATTTATACAAAAGCATTTGACATAATTATTATATTATATGTATATATACTATACAATTACCTATCTACATACAATATCAAGGAATGTACGATTTAAGTAAAGCTGTTTATTTAACGAACAATCATAATTACTCAGATCAATTAATTACTACTTACTTGGATTCTTCCTTAGTAACGATTTTCTGCCAAAATCAATTGCCAAGGACTGTGTTAACTATCATCATTCAATGACTCTGAGTATGAAGTTGGAGCTAAAAAACAACACTAAAACATTTAAATAAGAAATAAATTATTATTATTATTATGGAGCACAGAAAATAATACATATCATTTTAAACATCGGTAGACAGACAAGAAACTATATCATTGAAAAAAAAATCGGTAAATTAATCGGAAACTTTTCTAAAACTACAAGTAATTTCAAATGTCAGCCCGATTTTATTTTATCAAAATTACTGTGCGTTTGTATTAGGTATCACCTACTAACAGTTGTCTAAAAATGAGAGTTCAATAAAAGTAGATAACTGAAAAATTTGAAAAAAAATCACCTATTGATACCTACTCACATAATATTTACATAATAAAGAACTTAATTAGGTATTTTACTTAAAAAAAACAATGTAACAATAACATTACCAACAAAACACTGACAAGGCAAAACAAAATAATTTGTTAAATTATTATTATTTATTTTCGATCTTAACGCTTCAAAATGGTTCAATAATTTGTTCTAGCCAGGCGTGCAAAATATCGTTCCAATTTCGCATCTACGATAGTAAACAGTACTGATAAAATTGACAGTAGGACTATTAAAATAACATTTATTTTAGAATGACGAGACTGTTTTTCGAAAAAAAATATATAAAGATACATATTTTTCAATATTTTGTATGTACATATATATGAAACTAGATTGGAACGGAGCAACAGCTTAGTTCTAGCCTAACGTCCATTATAGATACACGATTTAGAATAGGTATGAAAAAAATAACTGTCACTCAAATCGCTATTCGAAACTTGGCGATGCACTACCATGCACCCAATAAGATATTTTGCACGATACTGAATGTTTTTTTACTGACAATGAACACAACATGTTACATAATATATATTATATAGTAAACTTCTTTATATATTAGAAAACGTACTACTAATATCGCCCAATAGCAAAAAAAAATGAAGAAAAAAATTTTGTTTTTTGCGAATAGTATTGGTTGGGTTGAGTTGGGTTGGGCGATACGATGATATAGTGCAAGTCTATATATACTATATCTACTCGTAGTGTAAGCGTTGTCCTGGCAGTAGTTAAAGAAGTAAACATATACATATAACATACTTTTTTGCAAAAATACAGCGTACAATCTTATGCCTTAAACTATCGTACCACAATCTCAGTACACAGGGGTAGCATTTTTTTTTTCATAACATTTAAATACGTAAATGGCCGGTTTCATTTATTTTTTTATATAAGATTTTTTTTTCATTTATTTTTAATTTTAAAATTAACACGTAGTTTTAAGCTTACTAAAATACAGCTATGTGTATACTTATAAAAACAGTTATTTTTCGCTATAAGTATATATTTTTTTCAATCAGCTATTTTTTATATTTATATGTATGTAACAAATATCCAAATATTTTCGTTAATTTGGATTTTTTATGTCATTATATACCTCACACATACTTTTTTAAAACAGCGAAAATAAAGTAACTAATTGGTTTAAAATAAATTAGTTTATATGGTTTCTGAGTATTCGAGGTGTAGGTTAAAAATATTTTTCGTTTCATGCCGTTTCAATAATAAAAAAATTAAACAAATATATTTCAACTAACCAACATTCACTCACTCAGAAATACTTAATTACAATTAAAATTTTAATATTTATATATTATACATGGATCGTAATAATATTACACATTAAACAAAAAAAATTTTTTTATAATCACCATTTTTAATTTTTTCGAGATCGACATATTTTTTGGGAGTACGACATTTTTTTTTTTCGCAAAAAATGGTGTTAATTAGGAAGCTTTTGTGTCATTATCTAGTTTTATTATTTATTTTAATTTGGAAGTACGCTTGTATCCAAAAATGTAGTTTTTCTAGTCTTAGGTATCCAAACTTTGTGCACTTTTCCTAAGTTGAATCTTCAGAGATAAATAAAAAAAATAATTTGTCTTCCATTTAATTTTGTTTACATTTTAAATGAAATAATTCGTTTATTTTTTACGATTGTTTTTTTTTTATTTTGTGACACCGCCACTTTTTTTTATTAATCTTTGAAGACAGAACTCTTTCCTCCTCTGAATAAATTATCACTTCTTGTTATCATACAATTTTCACGCTATATCAACTATAAAAGTCTAAGCCATACAAATAAAATGAAATGTGTTTATTCGGTATAAGACATGATCGCATACAGTTGATAATCCTTTAAAAAACTTAAAAGCTCTTTATTGACAATGAAGCATTTATGTTTTAAGTACTGAAGGTCGATTACGATCACCAAATAGTCCGCCAATCGCGTGGAGGTAAAGAGCAGGTCGGCTTAAGACTTGCTTTGGTATTGTGTATGAGTTTCATTAAAATCGGTACCGTAGTTTTCAAGATTCTGGAAATTAACCCATCCAACCCACGTAAACGCTCATCCTAGCAGCCCAGCAATGGACTGGTACAGTCTGTAGGCACTCAGGATCGTATAGATGCTAATGGCTTAGCATTTTATAATCGATTTTACAAAACAATTATATTTCACATTAAGTTAGACCAATTATTGGAATTTAAAAAAATAATGTACAATTTTTAGGCCTATTCATTTATTCATATTTCATAATGGGAGTGAGTTTTGTAAAATATAATAGTTCTTTTTCTAAATATCAATAATGATGCAACTTTTAAAAAACGAGAAATTAAAAAAACTGTTTTCCTTAAGAAAATAATTTCGTTAGTCTAACTCAAAATGAATTATAAGTCATACATAGGTAACGCTTGTGACATTCTGAAACAAGTCTGAAATATGTGACAGGGAACAAAAAAAATATGAACAAAAATGTAGATTTCAAAACAAGTACACAAAAAATCCTTATGTAATAAAAAAAATGTTTTTTTGATGGCTTTCGTATAAGTATAAGATCAAAAACTTCGAAAATGAGAAATAGATAATTCATCATTTTTTTAAATGTCAATTAGTCACAATTTTTATAAGTCTTAGTATGAGTATATATTTCTTTTGTTTATTTTTCCAATAAATTAAAAAAAATCAATGAAAACAAATCATTGTTCACTTAAAAAACTCGTTTTCGTTCACTCATTCATTCATTTGAATGAACGAACAACTTCAAAGTCCATTGACAAACTATGATCATCTCTATTTCGTTTCTATTTAGGGAAACAAGTAACCTATTCAAATTACTGTTAGCTGCAATATTTTTGTTAATTGAATGAAAAATATATAATTGGACAGCTCTTGAATCAGTTTAGCGTCTCAAATCTCTTTATCCTCATCCGCCAAGCTTCGCCTCGGAAGGCAAAAAAATCCCATTTATTTTTATTTCCTTATTTTTGATGCCCCATCACATATTGCCAGAACTTACTAAGTCTAGTCTCACGCAATCGATGTAGTAGGCGGTGCGACATCCCTGTCACGTTGCAACAAGTCGCGACGATTGTCGCGCAAAGAATTGTTGCGTCGCAACTCATCCTTGATGGAATTCTCTCTGGAGTCGAGGCCGCGTCGTGGAGACGATGTCGCCTCGCGGCATTCGGAGGAGGAACGTTTTGTATGGGTGCCTGGGAAAAGAAAGATTAGTTGTATATAGCGTGAAACACAGCGTTGTGTTTCGCCGTGTGAGTGATGTTACCGGTATCCCGATCCCTACCCTTTCCCCATATCTTCCCAATCCTTAAATATCCGAAACCCGTATCCCTAAAAGGCCGGCAACACACTCATAATTGAATTGGTATCGCGCGTGTCCATGGGCAGCGCTGATTGCTTACCATCAGGTAATCTGTCTGCTAGTTTGCTGACCTAACCCAAAAGGAAACAAAATTGAGCAGTTCAAACTACATCTTTAAGAAGGTACTTCACTAAACGGGTCAGGTTTGTGGTCAGTAAAATTGATTTTTATTAAGTTTAAAAATTATACTAGCTGCACCGGCAAACATTGTTTTGTCGTACAAATTATTGTCGTACAAGTATGGGGTGAACCACCCTTATCACTTAGAAGTATGAAAAAGGCTATTGTATATGCCTTTGTAGGAACTAAGAAGATTATTATTTTTAGAAAACGTTTAATACTATGTAATTCAAATTAAAAGTACTTAATTGTAAAATATTTTTTAATCATGCTTTTGTTATAATTTGTCTGTGAAAACAGTAAACTAGAAAACGTCAAATATTGCTTTTAAAACTAAATTTTTCACGTGCACTCATAGAATAAGTAAACAACAAACTGTGCACTAATCTTTAAAATTAATAAAATCACACATTTTTATTAAAAATATCTATTTAATTCACATTTCACTTTAATTCCTATAACATTTTTTGTTAACATTACCAGTATAAAATGATCCCTATCCTCTCACCTGGCAGATCTCGGCCGCAGCTCATAATCTCGTGGTCGAGGGAGGCGGAGGCTGGGTCTGCTCCGCGCCGCCCTCGCCCTCCCTGCTGGGAGGACACGCCTTGTTACTTGCCTTATACTGAGCCATAAGCGACACGACCAACATAACTGTATGACTTGTTCTAAATCAAATCATTCATTCGTCAAGTCATTCAAAAGCACAAATACAAGTGTACACACACATATTGATAAGAGATATTTCCCTTTTCTTGTTGGTACTTAGTAACAAAGGAAAAAGAAATAAAACAAAACTGAAGGATTTTTCAAGTCATTCACTCATCAGGTCGTTCACAAGTGCTACTTCATACTGATCTATAAATGACACGGATGGACGAATCTGATCATTCACTCATAAGGACATTCGTTAGTTAAGTTATTAGTCTTAAAGAGATTGAAACAATGTGTGAACAAATCACAAACGACGCGATAATCACGACACGCACAACTGTATGAGTGGTCCAGTCATTCATTTATTCATTCAACTAGCGACAACGAAACATTAAATTAACTGTACAACTTGTCATTAAAGAACCTAAATCAGTCACTTATCAGGTCATTCACAAACACGTAAGTTATTTAACTCATTCAGTTAATCGTTCATCGTTTAAAGTCTAAATTTAAATGTTTGTAAAATTATAATGCAGTTTTATTTCTTATTTATAAAAAACGGTAAATCTAGCTAGCTATGCAGGTACATTTATCACAAAATGTCTTACGAAGCACTAATAATAATTAGGTAGTTTCAAACTAGTCAAATTCAATACTCTCATTGAAATGTCAATAACATATCGTTTTAATTTCACAACATAATATGTTGTCATTATGTTTGCATGTCCGAGGTGTCGAGTAGCACACTTATTTTTTAAACTAGAAAAAATCTAAAATTAAGTATATCGTCAATTATAAATTTCATTTATTCCTTGAAAAAGGCAAAATAATTTATTATCGACATAGGAAACTACCCAATTCTGTATTTAATAGCTGAGGTGAACTACGTTGACTAATTTGTCTTAGAATTATTTGCAAATTATAGCATTAGGTTTAAAAAAACATCTAAGAGATTATTTTTGGATTGGTACCTAAATATAATTGAATAATATGACTACATTTGTGCATTCATTACGCTCACTCTAAATCTACCTTACCTACTAAATACCTACTGTTAAATCATCATCATCATAATAATCTACAGTATATAATATATAAGATAAATGTATAAAATAATCAAAGCATAAATATTTACTTTGTAACCGCTAGACCCGCTTGTGACGGACGAACTCGACCCGAGAGGATGTGTACCGTTCTGAAATGACGAAAGAAAATTATTAACACGTTTCAACTGGGGTTAGGGGGCTAGTGCAATTAGGCACCGCGGTCCTCGGACTACAACAGGAGAAGGAACGGGGATTTTAGTCAGTAAGATTCTGACTCTCCCTCTCGCCTTCCTTATCCCGGGCGGGAGAAGTCATTTGATGATTTGCCCCTCACAAAAAAATAACACGTTAAATGGCATAGGTATAAGTTATGAGTTAGTTAAAGTTTTGGTCTCAAAAGTGGTTCGTTAACTGTCAATGGGTTTTGGAGACTAGCTACTGTATGAAATTATATAAAATACCTATAAAAAGTATAAAATAAAAAATTCCCAACAAAAAAAAAACTAAGATCTTTTTAAAAAGTAAAAAAATAACAAAAATGCATTAACGTTGAGGGACGGTAAAAAATAGTAGATATAAAAAAATTTACCGTAGTTTTCTTTTCGGGTTTTTTTTAAATAATGACTACATAATATGAGATGTGTCAACAACACAAAAAGAAAGAAAACGGATCGTATATTTACAGCACTCATGACAAACAAAAAACTGTTAAGTGAGGGTCAGACTCAAGCACAAAAAGTTTCGTACAAATCAAATTCTGATGTTAAAGAGTTCTTCTGAAAATCATCTAGCTATTGGGAAAATCATCTACTTTTACCAGGGATGTTAGGAATATGAAATTTCGGAATACGGATCTAGGAATGATTATCATACTGGATGCGGTTACGAATACGAAAATTATTTCGGATTATCCGTTAGTTTCGAATAATTCCGGTTACGGATATTAAAATTTAAAGGAATTACAAATGTAAAACACAAATAGCTAATTAATGGTTTCATTTGTATGTCTCCAGCGCGCTGTTATCGTGGCAGCTGCGCCCGACCGATCAAAACAGCTAGTCATAAAAGTTTCAATTCAGTAATTGATGTCTCAATTAGGCTTCGCCCCTATCCGATACTATCCGAAACTTTTATTTCGGATAAGCTTACGGAGCTCCCTAACTTCCCTGATTTTTACCTTACTAAAACCTTTGTAGCGGCCATAGTCAGACCCTAAAAGAACACAAGGTCTTCTCAGTAGACCAAGTAGACCAACTCCTGAAAATATTAAAGACATCAAGACTGACCTGATCTAGTTGGTCTATCGAGGTGTGACTGGTGGGACTCTTGACTGTATCGAAGACTGAGGAGTCGCTGTCGTGGTCGGACTGCTGGTGGGGCGTCTCTGGACTGTCCGGGATCTCGCTTGCCGCTGTAATGCAATTATCAAGATTATTATCATAGGAAAAAGTGTGGGAGAGCCATGCTTCGGTACGAATGGGGTGATCCGACTAGAGTAGTATCATGGCCTTACAGAAGACCAGGGTGAGGCAGACATAGAGTTTTTTTATTTTTTTTTGTATGAGTGAGGTTATCGGAGACCTAATCCTTTCTCAATCCCTTTTTTCCTCAAAAGGCTGGCAGCAACGTATTTGTAACGTGTAAGGTGTCCATGGATGGCGCTGATTGCTTATTGTTTGCAATATCCCTATACTAACCGGGGATTGTCCTTGGATGCAATTCCACATTATAAACAGGGATAGTCGCTATTGAGGATAGGGGGGAAAGATTTGGCCTCCGGTAAACTATCATACTTATGTGTAAAAACTATCCTATGTGCTTTTTCGAGTTTCAAACTTTCGAGTACCAAATTTCACAGAAATCGGTTCAGTGGTTTAGGCGTGAAGAAAAGATAGACAGAGTTACTTTCGCATTTATAATATTAGTTTGAATTTGCAAAATACATTCATTGTTTCATGGGCTGTGTTGTTTGCTTTGCATTCGATAATTTGTTTATCAAGTTATATATTAAAAAAATAAGTGTGAGAGAGCCATGGGTCGGCTCGATCGGAGTGATACCACGTCCTTACACCACGGCGTTAAAAAAAACCGGAGTGACACAACTACAGCGTTGAGTTTCACCGTGTGAGTGAGTATAACCGGAGGCTTAATCCTTCCACTTCCCAAATTTCTAAAATTCGCACTTGGTAACTTTTCCGTTGTTGCGGGTGGTGTCCATGGGCTGCATTGATGGCTTACCATCAGGTAATCCGTGTGTTGGTTTGTCGAGCTATAACATAAGTTTAGTATAATAGTATTACCATGTGGATGTATGTTCCTGCGCTGTGCGCGCGGCGAGGGTGGATGCAGCGCGGCGGCGGCGCGGCCGGCGCCCGGCGCGCGACACACGGCAGACTGCACCACCTCGCACACGCGACGGAAGCGACGGATGTTGCCTGCAGGGGGGATGATAGGTAGATGAATTTCAAAATAGTAAGTGATTCGTTTTAAAATATATGTTTATTACTTTTACCTATATAAAATTGCTAACACATGTAAACGAAAAAAATAATTATAATATCCAAGTCAAAACTATAATTTTTTTTTTGTAAGGTGGTAAGTATTAAATGTACAGAAAATTTGGTAAAAATTCAAATTCGGCTATAAACACACATACCTAATAATCAAAGAATATTTTGAAAAAAAAACACATTTTTGTAAAATACCGCCAAGTTCTTTCTATTTTAACTTTGCATCTTATTTCTACAAATTACTTATCTATAAAATTTATTGTATCGTTATATAGTGTAAATATATTATAATAACATAATTATATTAAATGTATATATTATTTTAACATCTCTGTCATAATAAAAACTTTAATTCACAACTTTAATATATAAATACCTATATGAAAAAATCACAAATAAAACTGTTTTATTTAATTTAATATAATTAAAATATACCTGATAATAATGTAAACGTGATGGCGTATAAATACTCCTTGCCATTCTCCCCGGGAGCCTTCGTTATTGTAGAAATGTCGACCTGAAAGCAGTGAAAATATATTCTATATTCGAGAAATGGGATGTAATCGAGATATATTAAGATAATAATAAAAAAAATATTTATCCTCTCATCACAAATTAAAAAGCGCTTAATCTAATAGTAAAAATACAAAAAAAGATGTATGAGACTAGTACCCGATATAGGCATGCAATACCTATGTTACGGGTCACTTAGGCCTCTAATACGATAAAAGATCATTATAGTCTTCGTGGCCCAGCGATCAAGGCATCCAGTTCTCAAGGCATGCATGAGGATGAGAATTCGAAAACTGGCTAGTACCAATGTGAATTTTTCCGAGAAATGTGTACGTTCTAAAATTATTTAAAAACCACTGACACACGGTGAAGGAAAACATGGTAAGGAAACCTGGCCTTATAATTTATTATTATAAGTTTAAAATCGCCAATCTGTCAAGGGCAAGTGCGGTGATTCTTGGTCAAGTCTTTTTTATGTGAGAAAAGGCCCTACACTAACACCCGGTTTCCGAAAAACCGATCAATGTTAAAATCAATTTAATCTCATTTTGGTTGTTGATAATTCAGTCAACCAATCAGATGACTTGACAAGAGATTTAACAGGAGATTAGTTAATTTTAGCGTTGACAAGCCTTTCAGAAACCGGGTGTAAGATTTTCTCCCGTGTCATGGGTGCGTTTACAAACATACAACTTCACACACATCACAGAACCGGGACAACAATTAGTAGATCACACAAAGAGTTGTTCCGTGCGGGAATCGAAACCGCGACACGTTGCGCCGTTACGCGGCAGCCAATTGCCCAGATTACCTTCTAAAATTGATAATAGGCAATAAATATCTCACCTGAAACCTGACATGTCTCTGAAACATGGCGGGCGCGTTCGATCCTCTCTTGTATTCCACTCGAAACGACATCGGACTTAATACGCTATGAGATAATTCTGCTATCTGAAATTTGAGAAAAGAAAGTGATAAGTTTTAGTAAAAAAATACACAAAATTATATAAAAATATACACATTATTAAAAGGGGACTACAATTCGATAAAAAGACGTAACCAACCGACTCACAAATCCAATTTAATAAGCGCTAACCCCACTGCCATACACCAATTATATCTTCAGAGTTCGCTGACAACATTAGGGAATGGAGAACCATTCTCTAGAATTGTCTCTTCCTTAATCTCCAAATTCCCAATACCCAATATCCAATAACTCCGATTCTTAAAAGGCCAGCAATACATTTTTGACTTCTAGATTTGCACGTGTCCATGGGCAACGCTGATTGCTTACCATCTGATAATCTACGTGCTAGTTTGCCACCAGTTTAATTACAATAGGTAGCTAACGCAATCTTTCTTCGACTTCGACAGTCTCTGCACTACCAAACAACTTTTGTCCAACAATCTAGGAGCAGTTACAAGTATATCCTACTAATATTAAGTATAAATTGTCATTCTTTCACGCGAAAACGGCTTGACCGATTTGGTTGAATCTTGTATGTAGATATAGGTGATGCCCTGGTTTAACACATAGGCTTTTTACCAACACACCACGCGACCAAAGCCGCGGGCGGAAGCTAGTTTATACATAATCGTTTATGAAATATGTACTTACACTTAAAAACGCGTGTATTAAATCTGCCTTCACAGTAGCTAGAGGTTTCCCCTTTACTAACGCCGTGAAAGTCTCTTCCTTGTCAGCTGACAGCAGCAGGGAACCGAACCACGACCGCTTCGTCAGCTCCGGCGATGACTCGGGAGTTAAGTGGACTTCTTCTGATGATGCTGTGGAGGGTGAATTATGAGAGCGTTTTAAAAGGTTTTTGAGTCGAAACTTCAAATACACTTTTATTACCACATACTAACTTGTTCTTCTCTATAACGGACTTCGCTTTCTCTATAACTCCTCAATAAATAAGAGAGAGAATCTGTCAATATCGCTAGTTAATTGATTATAATCTATACTATTATTATAAAGAGGTAAAATTTGTAAGTTTGTATGTAGGGGGTAATCTTTGGAACTGCTGGTCGGATTGCCAAAATTCTTTCACTGATAGATAGCTACAATGTTCCTGAGTGTTATAGACTATAAAACATCACGCTACGATAAAATGGAGCTGAGCAGCAGGTGAAACCGCGTGAGAGTAGCTAGTGAGTAATACAGCTACCCATACTCAATTATTTATTCGATATTTTCACTGAATTCTCTATTTGGACTCTGAGATCAATTAATACACATAACACATATCGCAGAAATTCTTCCTTATGTACCAACTTTTTTCATATTATGTACATAAAAGCCTAAAAAAATAAATAAAGCACACTCACTCTGCATTTTCCTCCTATGGAAACGAGGTGAGCCGAGGAATGAGTTCTTGATGGTGGCGAGCCTCACCCTCCAGGGCGCGGCTGCCCCGCTCCCACAGACCCCCACTCCTCCCACTGCAGCACCACCGACACCGCCCGGGGCTACACCTGTAAAGAAAGCACCGATTAAGGATTCTTGACCCAATATAAGTCAGCTCGACCGAAGTGATACAACGACCTCAGAAAACCGGCGTGAAGCAACAGTTACGTTGTTTTTCGCCAATTGAATGAGGTTACTGGAGGCCCAAAATCCTTCCCCTCCCAAAATCCGTCCTCTATCCCAAAATCTCCAAACCCCTTATCCCCTAAAGGTCCGCAAGTCGCTCGTAACTCCTCCGCTATTGTGGGTGTCCATGGGCGGCGCTGATTGCTTTCCATCAGGTAATCCGTTACCCGCAACCCACAAGAGGATCCCAAGCCAGATAAATTATAATGCGTCATTTTATTTTCAAAGAAGCACTTACTTGTAATAGTACCTAAGTTAGGGAAGAGCGAGGGTTGCGCAGGCGATTGTGTGGTGCTCGGGGGACCCGGTAGAGACGATCTTTCCCGCACTGAAAAAAATATCAATATTTTTTACCTTCATTTATCAATTGACACAGTTACTTATGTCAAATAGCCAACAGAAACTTTTATAATATTGTTTGAGCTTATATTTTTTTATATTTTTTGATATTTAGTTGTAGAATAAATAATAATTTCCGAGAATAAATAAATAAATAAGTTACGTAGACACTTTCATAGTTTTAATAATCAGAAAAAACAAAGAAGGGATATTACGTTTATTCACCCTCAAAGTCATTGCCAAGAAACATAAAAATAATCATTATGAAAAAAGTTTTTCTTTAAAAATACATTGCCTCAAATTACGATTTTTGGAATCGAACCCACAACACGTTGCTCAGCAGCCAGTTGCCCAGCCACTGCGCTAACAGTGCAGTTATTAGTATTAAAACACAATACACCATATTTTTTCTTTATCTCGTACATTTTCTCTTAAAAATTAAAGATCGCGTCCATTATCATCTCTCTTTCACAATATTAATTTATTCGTATTTCAACTGAGCTAAAACTAAAATTCAGTATACAAAATAATTTTAACTTTAATACAAAAAATAATAAACTTGGCGCCCCTCGCCCGTGCACCTACCTCTGTGTGTTTGGGAGGGGCTGTGAGGCCGGACTGCGACGGACGAGCCCATTATCGGTGATTCGTTTATTATAATCACCGCTTCACCTGGCTCACCACCTATGGTGATTGATATGTTACATTACAAAATCACCACTAAGCATATGTGTCTTAAGAACGGAAATCTATTGTATATATGAAAATGGATCGCAAAATGTGTTGGTAAGCGCATAACTCAAAAACGGCTCAACCAATTTTAACAATAATTTTTTTAATGTGTTCGTTATTGTCAGGAGATGTGAGTATATTAAAATATAGAAAATTTCGTCGTCAGCGAGGTAGTTTGACTGCGGGGTTATTGACGATGTTTGTCCAATTTCGATGGAATGTGGTCGAAATGAAAATATTACACATGATCCTTCAGCAGCAGGAAAGTCTTAGATGTAGGTATGTGTAACTCCGTTCTGGTATTTTCATTGTCCGATAAGGCTACGCTTTTAATTAAGTTAGTAGTATTTTAAATGTGATTTTGTTATCCTGCGATATGGCGGCAAAGTGAGCCTTTTAAATTAAAAAAATTTTACAAAATAAAAAAACCGCCTTCAAAAAAAGTCAAGCAATAAAAGTTCCTACACTAAAAAGTAAAAAATAACAATTTGAATTACTGTAAAAAAACTTAATTTATAGGTAAACTTATTTGACATTAATATTTTGCAAATATTCAAAATTTATTACTTATTTTTGGAGTCGGTGCCAGCATTTTGATGTTGAAACTTAATGTTAGTTAGGTTTTTAATATCTGGTGCCATTTTTCGTACATAATGCTTAAACATTTTCAATGTACTTAAAATGTTTTTGTAAGTACATATTTTTTATTAAAAAAAATGTGCAAATCGGACATTTTTTGTAGAGAAGTCTAATCTGTATTTATGTCTTAATTAATATACCTATATTTGAGTATGCAAATAGGTATTAAGTAGTTTTATAATTAAGTAAGAGGTAGTTTTTCAAGGGATTGTTGCCCATTTGTATTTCCTTGCATGGGCTGGCACCGACTCCAAAAATAAGTAATAAATTTTGAATATTTGCAAAATATTAATGTCAAATAAGTTTACCTATAAATTAAGTTTTTTTACAGTAATTCAAATTGTTATTTTTTACTTTTTAGTGTAGGAACTTTTATTGCTTGACTTTTTTTGAAGGCGGTTTTTTTATTTTGTAAAATTTTTTTTTTATTTGTAGCCGTTTAGTGTTTTTTTTTTATTATAATGTGTTATGGCAAAGAAGTCAATATCGTTCCTACATTTCTTTTGAAAAAGTTACCAATGTCATACTTATACGTAGAAATACATATCATAGTACATTGTTACTGTGTAATCGTTTTGATCTCGAGGAGAGATGATATGATGCATGAGATACTTATGACTTATAGTTAAAATAAAATAATAATCTTATCATAAATTCATATTAGTTCTCGCCAAATAACAAAAAACTAGATATTTTCATCAACAGACAGATAAAGTTCAAAGATACCAAATGCAATCTAATTTAGTATCTATGATTAAATACATTCGTACATAGAAAAAAGACCGATGCAATTATTGTTTTGTATCAATTGTAACCCATTAAATGAAGAATACTATTTTGTTATTACTAAGAACATTCATATATAGACAAGTTGGTAAAAATATAAAAGACCATCGCTATTGTAAATATACATTTATGACTCATTCAATGTATGAACCTTTTTTAAGTAAGTATTATCTACATATGTGCACACAAAAGAAACACAATTATTGTTTTGTACGACGCAATTATTGTTTTGTAACCCATTTAAAACGACTGTTTTGTTAAAAATGCCAATTAATTCTCTTAGCCTATTACCAGGAAAACGATAAGAACACAATGACGCATTTCACCACTAATGTGTAAACGCAGTCCACGTGGACTAATGCAAAATAGCCAATACTAGGCCAAACTCCGCCCCCAAAGGTGTGCGGTCCCGCTCTAGAACCTTTCGGCCCCATCGGCCATCTGTTCTACGAGCAATGTGCCGTGCCCACTGTCACTTAAGTTTGGCATTTCTTCGGGCTATGTCGGTGACGCTGGTTCTTCTGCGGATTTCTTCATTTCTGATTCGAACATGCACGGAAACTATGAGCATAGCCCTTTCCATTGCTCTTGACAGCTCTAATAAGCTTACACAATACTAGGCCCCATGCCAACCTTCCAGCTTCATCATCACATCAGTTCAATAGTACCTTACAGCCAAAGTGCATCTTATAACAATTCTAACAAGCCCAAACACGGCTAGGATATATTAATTAGGTACGCAGTTCCAGTGCCTACCTTCCAGCTCCATAATCATCATTAAATCAGTTCGATGATAACATTTCCAACATAATTATTTAAGATCATTGGTTTACAGTGCATTTTCATAGTTGCTGAACTACCTTGATTGTGATATCTATGCGAGTGTCAAGTTTCATCACCCATTTCTGATCTTCTTCACCAGTTCCACCTCATCAAACATTACTTTTTGACTGTAAATGCTTGAGTGCTCTATGAAAATATTAAAATTACTATATAGTTGCCTATAATATTTGAGGAGTTCCCTCGATTTCTCATGGATCCCATCATCAAAACTTGATTTTGAAAAGAATGGGACCAATCTGGAAGCATATCCTTTCAATCATAAAAAAAATTTTGCAAATCCGTCCATAAACGACGGAGTTCTGAGGTAACAAACATAAAAAAAAAAATTAAAAAAAAAAAAAAAAAAAAATACAATCGAATTGAGAACCTCCTCCTTTTTTTGAAGTCGGTTAAAAAGAACGGAAATTCTAAATATCGGTAACTTAAAATCGCGGGTTACTCACGTGTATAATATATTGAGAAAAGCTCTACTAGTTTCGAACCACAGAGGGGTTCTTCCTCATGAGCAGCGTGCGCGGACGCGGCGACGTCGCGCAGCCTACTAGTTAATTTAGTATGTCTCACGATAGTTATTATAAAAACGGAAATTCTATTAGTTCCATAAACTATTTATTTTATTTAAAAAAAAATCGATGTGTGCATATGTTTTGTTGTTGCGATGAAAATGGAAACTTGTATTTAGAGTGATAAAGTTCGTTATGTTTTAAAACTTACTTATATTTAGACTTATAGTAGGTCCTGTCGAGTTCGCTCGTTGGTGATGATGCTCTCGAACTGATGGGGAAGCTGAAACAATATTAAAAACTGAAGATTTTTGACTCTTGTCTATTAATTTAGGTGGTTGACTAAATGTACCTAAACAATATTCATCATCATCATCATCAGCCTATAAGTGCCCACTGGTGAGCAAAGGCCTCTTCTCATACGGAGAAGGTTAGAGCGTTAATCACCACGCTTGCTCAATGCGGGTTGGCGATTTCAAAATTATAATTAGAAATTATAAGTCCAGGTTTCCTCACGATGTTTACCTTCACCGTATGTCAGTGGTGGCTAAACAATCATAGAAAGTACATATAACTTGGAAAAAGTCACATTGGTACTTGCCAGGTTTCGAACCCTCCGGCTCCTTAACCTCCGGGCCACCACGACACACAATATTAGCGTGGTCTTAATCTAAATATTTTAAGTAAAAATGTATTTAGCTGAAACGATGTTAGATAATAAAAATTTAAATACCTTTTGTGTGTATTTTAAAATACGATCACTTTAATATAAAAAGATATACCAAGATTACCTTTGATTAACCAACTAGACCATAGTTTCCTGATTCATGAATATAGCCAGAAAAGTAATTCCAAAGAAAACAGACAAGGGAAATATTTTCTCTAATAAAACAACTGAAAATTGTCTGTGAGAATAGAATAAGTAGAAAAAAGAATTAAGTACTTCGAAATAAAGATCCAAGTAATTTTATAAATCGACCGATTTTTGACACAGTGTTTCTATAAAAAAATCTAGTTTTTTTTTATGGAATAAGACTCAAACGAGCACACTAGTCACCTGATGCCTGATGGTAAGTGATCTATGCTGCGGCACCAAAGATCACTCCGTGTTACAACATCATCAACCTATAAATCCCTATTCCAGAGCAAAGGCCTCTCCTTACACGGAAGGCATGAGCATTAATCACCATGTTTGCTTAAGTCTAACAGGCAATTAGAAATCGCAAGACTAGGTTTTCTTATGTTTTTCTTCACCATAAAAAGTCTCATTGCTACTTGGCAGGTTTCGAACCCCTCATATGTATATATGAGAAACGGAAGTCTTAACCTTCGAGTCAGAATATCTCCGGTAATCCGTATGCTCGGTTGCCGAAATATGACATACAACAAAAATATGAAAAGGTGGAAATATGAGAAGAAGAAGAAGAAGAAAAAGTTAAGTACATTTACCCAATGGTGATCCAGGAGTAGCTGGTGTACCGCCCAGCGAGGATACTCGATGTGGCGTGTGACCGGCTGGAGACAAAACATAACCTTTTTGTTTATTTGTGACAAAATTTTTGTTTAGACTTGACGAGTCAAAGTCAAAGTCAAAATCATTTAATTTTATTCCAACTAAACCATAAATAAGTACTTTTGAAACGTTGAAATAGAACAAATCACCAAAATTTCGTTACAACAAATTCACCATACAGAGAGGTTTTTTTTTATGAGGTAGGTCGGTAAACGAGCAGACGGACTACCTGATAGTAAGCAATCGTCGCCCATGGACACCCGCAACGACGGAGGAGTTACGAGAGCGTTGTTGACCTTAAGGGATTAGGGATTTGGAGATTTTGGGAAAGGGAACGGATTGGGACTCCGGTAACGTCAGGTTCACGCAAAGTGGTTCATAATGGTGTCTTTGTCGTATCGAAATTTTGGTGGTCTTTATAATAATGAGTACTCTGAATGTCCTTATATGTGTGACGCTGACTGTACTAGCTAACTGTATTTTTAAAGTTTTTCTTATTATTTTAAAGAATTTCAAATTAAAATAAAAGAATTTTTCCAAGATCGCGTTTCGAATAAAGATATCGATCCTTATTAATAACGCTAGTATTGAAAAGGCCGTCTTAAACTTCTAAAACAACTAATATCAAACAATACTTACTAGGTGGACTGGCAGGCAATTGTGGTGAACTGCGCCCCTCTCCTCTCCTTCCCGAAGCAGACCTACTGCGACCAAACCTGGACTCAAACCTCGGATATTACACACACACTACCTAATCACTACTGGATGCAACGCGTGAAGAAAGAAAGTTTATAGAAAAAAATGATACTTAGGCAAGAAAATGTATCTTAACATGATTAGGTGAAATAGAAAAGAAAAAAATAGAATGTTGTCTAAAATATAAAAGGTTAGGTATTGATTTAAAATGAATTCAAGATACCTATTAACATTTTACATAAAAAAAATCGCTGGCAATTAATATTTGATGTAAGGTAATTGTCGGGGAAAGGTTGTACTATAGCTGAATTTAATGACTATAATTGTGATGAAATAGCACACCTAAATCATCTGTGCATACTCAAATTAAGTCCAATTTTATAGCTTCAGGGTTGATTTTTCAATAGTCAGATACCTAAATGTTATCTGAGGAATAAAATTGTTGCAGTCACTGTCTTATACAAACATTCTGACGCGACAGCATCATAATTGTTACCCAGGTTACTTTTATCTGACCATTGCAAAATTAGCCTTTAATCCGTGGTATAGCCGAGACACAATGTGTTTTCTATTGTGTCTCATATACCGGCACACAAAAGGGTAAACCGTAAAAATAATAAAAAACGGATTATTTTTAATTGATTATCTATCTGAAATCAGCCTTTTTATGAGACACGGGCGTGATAGCATAGTACGCTAATGAATGTTAAATTTAAAAACTATGAAGATAGAAAAAGAAACTACAATGATAATAAAACTTGCATGACTGACAGAAAATGAAATTGTTTATAAAGAAAAAATAAAAAAAATAAAGTTTAAAATAGGAAAATTATTTTCGAACCCGGCGGTTCTCTACCATGCACCCAAAATGTTTGGTGTAAAAAAAATATACGGTTCGCTCTCTATTGATCTGCTTACCACCTCAACGTATAGCGTGTAGATAGATATTATGACTTCGTACCTATATTGTGATCTTCTAGGAGTTATGGGTGAGCCTTCGCTAATCTGACCAAAGTGCGCAGACTGTCCGTTTACCTAGAACAAAAAAAGGGTTAAAAATGGCTGTCTCACCTAAGTTTTGTTTTTATATGTGATAGAGCGGCAAAGGAGTGGACGGATTGCCTGGTGATAAGCAATCAATGCCGCCAATGGACAACAACAACAACGGAGGAGTTACGAGTGCGTTGCCTGCCTTTAGGAGATTAGGGTTTGGGATATTTTGAAATGGGGGAGGGGAGAAGGATTGGGTCACCGGTAATCTACTCACATTGCGAATCACAACGCTGTGGTTGTTTTACGCCGATTTTCTGTGAGTCCGTGGTATCACTACATGACCCATTCGTGCCGAAGCATGGCTCTTTCTCACCACAGACTAGACACTCGTGACTGAAATTCTTATAGTTGTACAGTCTCTATTGTGCCGTTTTTTATGAAGGAAAAATCATCAATTGTCTTCTCCCGCCCATGGCGAGAGGAAGTGTCAGACTTTTACTCACTAAAATCCACCCCGTTCCTTCTCCTGCCCTAGGCCAAGACCACGGTGTCTTCCAACCCGGCTAAAAATTAGCCATGTTCGGTGGTCTATTGGTTGTCTTTTGTGTCTTTAAGGCTTCAAACATTCTGTTTTCTGCATTAAATTTACTCACTCACTGTAAACCGGCGTGAAACAACTACAGCATTGTGTTTCAACCAATCCGTCCCCAATCCCTAAATCCTTCAACTCGCTCCGTATCACATAAAAAATGTAAGCAAAACTTACTCGACAAGTATCAAGTCTTTTCCGCGGCGGGTCTGGAGGTAGCGCAGGGGCGGCTGGCCTTGGCTCGTCGTCCCGGGCGGGCCTCCGTCGCTTACGCTCCAGTAGAAGAAAATATATTACTTTCTCTGTATTGTGGCTGGAAAACGAAAACAAAGGATATATGTTAGGGTGATAAGGTCGTGATTGGTATGCGACTATTTTGAATACATTACTAGCGACTTCTCAGTTAATACGGTAGATTCCAACAAGTCAAATTCAATACTTCTATGCAAATGTCAAAAACTATTTTTTTTTATGAAATTTGTATGAAACTCCAACTACTTAGCTAAGAAATATCGAAAATTGTTTGACCCATGACGTGAAAAAGTCATTATTTTCAATAACAAGCTACAAGTTAATGTTTTCTATTTTAAATTACAATTTAAACCATTTATATATTGCTGCCATTTAGCTACCCATACATATATTGGGAACAAACAAAAATAAACATTTACACAAAAAAATTGTGTAGCAAGGGATCCATCTCAGTATATCCTGTATTATGCACAGCACTGATTGAATAAAATATAAAAGGTACTACTACACTACTTTAATAAGTCAATAAAAAACTCACTGTGGACTCAACAGTTCCTGTATAAGCTTTTCCCGCTGCTTGAAGCATCCTAGACTGCAGATAGCCTGCAGTACGTCAGGATCTATAGCTTCAGCGGAAGGTAACACCCTGGTCTGGACAACTTCCATCATGGGCAACTCCTGTTCCAGCTCGCCTCGGCCGCCCGCTGTCACCCATGGATGTCTGGTTATTTCTGCTAGCTGAAAATTGAATAAATGAATAATTAATACACTGAGCCAAGCTTCAGCACGAATGGGTCGACTCGACCGGAGTGATAACAAGGTCTAGAGAAAAACCACAGCGTTATGTTTCGCCGTGTGATTGAAGTTACCGGAGGCCCAATCCCTACCCTTCCCCCATCCCTTCCCAATCCTTAAATATCTGAAACCCTTATCCCTAAAAAGCCGGTAACGCAATCGTAACTCCTTTAATATGCATATGCGGGTGTCCATGAGCGGCGCTGATTGCTTACCATCAGGTAATCCGTCTGCTCATTTCCCGACGTATACCATAAAAAACATGATGTTACTGTTTTGAAAAAAATACTATAAATATTTTAATTATTACCGTCATTCGTTTCTCGGGGTTAACTTCAATCATTCCTCGCAGTAACTGTTGGCAGTCTGGTGGCACAAAGTGGGGGACATGAAACACTCCGCGTTTTACCTGAAACGAAGAAAATAAAATAAATTAAATATCTAATATTTCAGTTGACTTGGCTGAACTCTACCGTGCAAGATTGCGTTATTTTTTCTCTACAATACAAAAGGCCGCAACCATCAGCGCCATCTAGTGAGTAAAAATAACGGTAGACTTCGTTTAAAAAACCCGCCCCGGGCTAGAAGTTCGGCACAACCATGTATACTACATTATTAAATATTAAGCTTTATCACCAAGTTTTAAGATTCAAAGTCGCTTAAAAGAATTGACGAGTTAACGACTGTATTTTATCGTTAAGAATGGATCGAGTCGAGACATTGGCCTTGGACAAGGTCAATAAATCGAAAAGTTTAAATACTTGATAATTTGTATTATATAAATAATCCAAAACTGAATGAAAATCAAATATTAAGGTAAATTTTCGTAACAAAACACACAGAAAATTTTACAACATTTTTTCATTTGCTGCATTATCTAAAAAACTTTATATACAAATACCTTTTCAAGTAATTGACGTAAATTATCATCGTCGAAGGGTAACGCTCCGACCAGCAGTGCGTATAATATTACCCCACACGACCAAACATCCGCTCGTCGACCATCATATTTTTCCCCCTGTGAACAAACAAAAAGATATTAAGACACACCTTTAACTAAATTTCGTGGAACAGAGTTGTATGTTTTGTAAGGTTGGCAGCATTGCATGACATGAGTGTTGCAATGTCAAGAGTTACTTCCATATAATGGGGTACTAAAGAAAGAATAAATAGGTTTATCAAATGATAATACATGTTTAGTGTTTGATTAAACAATGTTATTTTAATATTATGAACAATTTTGATGTCATTTAATCTACAGTAATAACATACTTTTATTTGTTTTAATAATAAATTCATATTGCTAATAACATTCCGTATTGTGGTACACATAACGTGGAAAAGAAAATATAAAATTGACACAATTATGAACTCTGATGGGCACAACAAGCTAATAATATAGTATTTAATAAATAGGGATTTACACGATTATACGTTATTTATTTATAAATTATTTATTTAGTTATGGTATAGTATGTATAGTATGGGTGCTATGAATGTATGATTAATTAAATACCTATACTTATTGAATTTAAAAAATGAGCTCGCATCTTTTTCGTTTGCAAGTTAACTTCCACAAACATACAATTCATTAGACGAAAAAGTACATTTTTATTACAGTATCACCAGTTTCGAAAATATTTTATTTTCAATTCAATAGCAATCAATACAGATTCAGGCAAATATTAACTCTGTCAACTACCTGCCTGATTAGATAATATAATATTATAAATATAATTTGAGTACAATTAACTCGTGAAATGGGTTAGTTTATATTCTAAAAAAATTACACCGTGTAGTCAACATAAATATATTATGGGACTTTACTTTCTAACTATAGCAACACTCCCAAGCCGTCAAAGTTAAAACGGCCGAATATTACCCAGCCGAATGCGGCAGACACCAACTGTCAACCGTTACGTGAGACAGACTTATACGATAAGCGAAAGCGAGAATGGGATAACACGTGTCGCAATTCAATAATTGAATTGTTTGTAACATATTGATAATTCATGAACGACCGTTGCTTTGATTTCATCAGTCCGTTGAAAAATACAATTTGTGATAGTGTATGTAATATCGAAATACGTTAAAAATGAAGTCCGCTAAATCTAAACAAAGGTTAAACGATATGCGAACGCCGGCTAGGAGTAAACAAAATCTAATCGGTGAGCGAGATCCCGTACAAGTGTATTGCCGACTGCGGCCTATGCAAAGAGACTCCGATTCACCATGTATGAAGATAATATCGCCTACTACGGTGCTTCTAACGCCTCCCGCAACAGCTCTAAGCTACAGAAACGAGAATGCGAAGACTATGAAGTACACTTTCAAAGAGGTATTCCCGCCAGAAACGAACCAACAAGAAGTATTCGACAAAGTCGCTTTACCCATCGTTGAAGGACTTATCAAAGGTAAAAATGGCTTATTATTTACATACGGCGTCACAGGCAGTGGCAAAACATTCACAATGACCGGTGAGCCTCAAAATTGCGGTATTTTACCAAGATGTTTGAATATTATTTTCAAAACTATAAACGACTTTCAAGCACACAAATATATCTTCAAACCTGATAAAATGAACATGTTCGATATTCAAACTGAGGCTGAAGCCATGTTGGAACGACAACAGGAACTCCACAAATTCAAAACTGGAAGGAAAAATAATTCAAATCCAGATCTTGCCATGTCTTCCTCTGATATCACTAAGATCGAAGGGATTAATGAAGACAACCAATATGCAGTGTTTGTGACCTATGTTGAGATATACAACAACAGTGTCTTTGATTTACTTGAAGATGGACCTCCGATAAGTAAGAACTTACCTGTTAAAATCATCCGTGAAGATGCAGCTCACAATATGTATGTCCATGGAGTGACTGAAGTAGAAATCAAGTCTGCAGAGGAAGCTTTTGAAGCTTTCTACCTTGGTTTAAAGAGAAAACGGATGGCACACACATCTTTGAATGCAGAATCTAGTAGAAGTCATTCTGTATTCACAATCCGATTAGTGCAGGCACCAGTAGATGAAATGGGAGAAGCTGTTATACAAAATAAGAAGTTCTTAAACATTAGTCAGCTGAGTTTAGTTGATTTAGCTGGCAGTGAACGCACAAACCGCACTAAGAATACAGGCCAACGTCTTCGAGAAGCCGGTAACATCAATAAATCTCTCATGACTCTACGAACATGTCTAGAGGCATTGAGAGAGAATCAGATAAGTGGTACTAACAATATGGTGCCTTACAGAGAGTCGAAAATCACACATTTATTCAAGAATTTCTTTGAAGGAGAAGGCCAAGTGCGTATGGTTGTGTGCGCTAACCCTAGAGCTGAAGATTACGATGAGACTCTTCAAGTTATGAGGTTTGCAGAGATGGCTGCGGAGGTTGAAGTGGCCAAACCTCAAATTATTGACGTAGCGGCGAACATGGGTCTAACAACAGGCCGTCGCAAGGCCAACAGGCTATTCACTACAGCCCGAGACAATTTATCAAGGCCAGAAGCTAAAGAATTGGAAATGGACTTAGGTCTGGTTTACAGTCTTGGACCAGATTTCCCGAGCATAGAATTAAACAGTTCTCAGGCTGCTCACATTATAAAGGAATTGATGGCACACTTGGAAATGAGGATCAGTCGGCGAGAAGCTCTGAAACGCAGCAAAGCTATTAAAGATGAACGCCTGAGATCTGCTCTTTTGGACCTTGAAAAGGATTCTCTAGAAGTCAGGAGCGAAAACGCTTCTTTGAGAGGTCAGTTAGCGGCAGCAGAACGCAGGGTTCGAGCGCTGGAAGAACGCCTTACAGCCACTGAGAACGCATCCCTCACTCACCAAAGAAAACTGTCAGAAATGACTGAATACACTTCTGCATTAAAGCGAGAGTTACAAGAAAAAGAACTACTACTCAGTCAAAACAAATTCGATAAAGAGAAACAGAAGAAGATTCTAGAAAGGAAATACAACCACAAAATCGCGGCGGAACATGAGAAAGCAAAAGAAATAAATTCCGAGAAGGAAAGATTGAAGAATGCTATAGAAGAGAAGGAGAATAGACTGAGAATCATAGCGGAAGCTTTGAACCGAGGGGATAACGATGGATTTAATAAGATTACAGGAGAAATGGGTGCACAGACGAGTAACAGAGACTTCACTCCAGGATCTACTCCTAGAGCTTTACCAGCACATTTATTAACTCCGTTCAGCTCTGTGGCTCACACTCAAACTCAACGTGACACTCCAGCTTCATCTCGTCGTGGTGTCGCCATAGCCAACCCTCGTCATCGCCGATCACTCTCAGCAGACGGCCGAGGCTGGGTAGAACATGCGCCAAACAAAATAGTTCCAATGGGCACTGTTATGAAGCCAAGCATCATCAACAGTAAAGTTGTAAACAAACTAACAAGCGTGAAGGACATTGCTAACTCAAGGACATCGAAATATTGTCTCATTTCCCAAGAACAGGATACCGATGGGGAATTGGAGACCAAGTTGTATAAAGGAGATGTGGTGCCAACTTGCGGTGGTGGTGCACAAGTGATCTTTAATGATGTTGAGATGTTAAAACAGTTTTCTCCCACTAGAGAGTCGACTCATTCCAATCGTGTCTCCGGGACATCGTGCGCAAGGCATTCTGGCAAGAGAAGGGATACTACTCACTCTCCGCCCCAAACACCATCAAATACAAGCAAAAAGCAAAGGATTGATGATGACTGATGATCCGTAAAATGGTAAGAATCTTGTATCCATTATATATTTTCGGCTTTTGTAGTTGGGTCCAATAATTTTTGAATTGTGGTCCAATATTTTCACAAGCTTTGTTGTAATGATTTGTTTAAAATGATTGTATGAGATATCCTAAATAATTTAGTTGTTATTAAGTACTGTTAAAATTTTCAATATTTCATTTTGTTAGATGTTTTCTGTCAATTGAATTTAGTTTATTAAAGATCCTGAATTGACATTCTGATACTTGTTTTTGATATTTTTGTCTTGATTATTAACTCCTATTAAATAAATAGCTAGCAGCTGAAATATTTGGCAGTGTTAAGATAAATTCATTAAATTGTAGGTAATAATAATAAAGTACCATTATTATAATCTTGTTTATAAAACTTAATCTCTAATATATAACTTTGTTAAGACTTCTAATATAAAAATTAATTGTAGATTTGTTTATTTCATAAATAAGTTTTGATTACATTAGTCATAATTAGTACTTTATTGTTTTTTCTCAAAGAATAAACCATGCTCACTTACTAAATTGCTGAATTGTAAAAATACTGGTAACTCGATGGGAAAGGTGAATTACGTTTTTCCAAGAATGTTAAGCATCGTGGATTTTTCATACAAACTCTGAAGGCAAACAAAAATCTTGGAAACCGCTTTACTGATTTTAATAATCTTGCTACTAATAGTAGGTATAGGTTTTTTTTAAATATGTATAACTTTGCTCCGCACTAGTATTTTCACTTTTCCAAATGTAGGTTTATAACAATTATTACCAGTTTATTCATTCTCAAACACGCTTAAAAAAAATATCATGTGATTTTGTTTATCATAAGTATTCAAGACATTTTTTGACTGTGATCCGTTCATAAAATTGCTCATTGTAATAAATAGGACTAGGTTTTTTGTTATGTTCCTTTTTGATTTCATTTACAGTATATAGGTACTTATTTTCAGTTAATATCATGCTTATATTGTGTAAAGGTATTGTGTAAAGGTGTAAGCAGAAGTTTATGAAATAGGTACACAATAGTTAAAATGTTTACACTTGGACAAATGGACATATAATACAAATTAATATTTGGTTTCATTGAGAAATATGTAGTCATGTGTATGTAATGTAATATTTTGTACCAATTAGTAAGTACCTAATTTAATATTATCTATGGATATATTTCCAATAATAAATGCATAGGTCAAAGACAATTTCTATTCTTAATTAATTGCCTTGTCATAAAAGAAAAACTGATTATGTAATCGAAGGAATATTGATATAAAAAAATAAATTTTTGTTTTTTTTTTACTATTAAGTAGTATTTTTTACAGTATATGTATGGAAATTTTGTTAGTAAACACCTAGTCTGTTTAAGTTGTAATATAGATCTGATTTTTTTGTATATATTATGCTTCATTTTTTTTTATAAGTTTTGAATGGGCTAAAGTAATTATGATTATCAGTATTCTCTGACAGTCCATCGCTAGATTATAGGGCCTTGTCGACATAAGAGTTTAGGCCAGCAAACTGTCCTTGGCCCCTCCTCACTGAGTAGACTGGCTATAAATTGCAGTACAGGTTTATCAACTCTGTCAGTTCTTGTTAATTTTTTGTTTATGTGTGGACCATGGAAAAAGTACCCGAGATCACGGCCTATTTATAACATTATAAATAAATGAAGTATAAAAAGTTTAACAATTATTGTGGTGTTGAATTAAGTGGTTATTTTCGAATGTAATATTTTTTAATTCGATTTTTTTTCATCCTATCCTTTCGAGTTGGTGCAGTGATGAGCCCAAACTTGGTATATAGGAGTGAATTGTAAAAAAAATGTTGATTTAATAATGCGTGAAATTGAAATGACAATGTGTTTGAATTAATTAGGTTTAGCTGATTATTTATTCCTCATTTAGGATCTCCGACCTGATTTCCAGGGTGAACAAATTAATATTAGATTTTTCCGTACCTACCCCTTTTTTATGTCGTTTTTTCGTGTCGTTAGGTCGGCACACGAGCAGATTGATTACCTAGTGGTAATAAGCAATCAGCGCTGCCCATGGACACTTAAGTATACCTAAGGAGGTGTTACAAGTGCGTTACCGTCCTCTTGTAGGTAATTAGCTAATTAGGGATGGAAGAATTGGGGAAGAATTGACCTAGGTACGCTAAATTGTAACTGAAATGAAAAATTTACTTGAAAATTACGTTTGATATCGAATACAATAAAAAAACACTAATTATATAAAGGGGTAGTGTACCGACTATGAAACAATAAAAAATCGACTACCTTCTAAATGTGAAGAGCATTCATAATCAGTTTTCTTAGAAGTCGGTTGGGCTCAATAATTCAAAAAGAAAAGAATTGGGGGCCATTTCGTCACCATAATTTTTTAACTGCGCTTTTTATAGGGTGTTAAACAGGACCAATTAATATCTTAAATGACTCGACTAGTTTTTTGTACAAGTTGAGTAATTAAAAACATTAAAAAAGAGGAAATCGGTAATGTTGGTATAGGGGTAGTCTTTCCTGTGTCGAGGTCATGCGGTAAAATCTGACCCGCGTTGAACTGTTTCTATAAATTAGTTGTTAATTAACTTACGTTTAGACCTAATTAAATACTTGAATGGGGTTTTTTGTTTTGAAACTATATACTTTTGCTCGGTTTCGCCCGCTGTTCGGTTCCTAATGATCGTAGCAATATTATATGTAGCCTTCAGCGATAAATCGAGTAATAAACGAAACAATACTTTTTTAATTCATATCAGTGATTCCTGCGACTAGGTCGTTCAAACAAAGTCTTCAGATTTATATAGGTATTATAATTATCGATAGTACAGAACAATATTCTAATTCATTTAATTCTCTTTTAGGTTTTTTTTAATTCTAAGGGAATGTAGTGATTTGCTCTTTTTATCAAATAAAAAACGATTCTTAGCAAACGCTTTCATTGGCGTTCAGTTTATCAGTAGGTACCTATAAATTAATTTGTGTTCACTGATTAATTCAAATAAGTTACAAAACCATATGTCATGGGAGTCAACAACCCTGTCGTACCAGCGCGCGAGTGTCGTTTGATGAATACCTATGAAAAAAGCACACTCGCATTTAGCAACGTGCTTGCGATTAAAACACTAAAACCCCTAACTAAAAAAAACTTAATAGTTAAGTCTAGTGTAAATAAGCACTTAATTCAATTACATTCAAAAAGAAAGGTCAATAAATACCTACCTTCCAAAATGTATCACTTAGTTCTCATATACCATTTCACTAAACTATTTTGTATTGTCATTCAACTATTTGTACCTATTATTATCGTCCCACGCAATAACCACTTAATTCAATTATAACTACAGTTTTGCGTGTAATGTACTTAATTCAATAATAACGAGGATATGGGTTAATTTAAACTTTGGTTTAATGTTCAACTATTTTGTCGACGCCATGTTGTGGTCGTTGTAAAGTATTTCCCGCCATTTTTTTGACGCGGAATTGTAATAAATAAAAATAGTTTTCAATTGATTTCGTTCTTTTATTTCTTGCCTCTTTTTAATGTAGTAGGTCGCAAATTCAGTGTGCCTATTTATTTTATTTATGGGATAAGCTGGCAAGTGGGCTGACGGATTACACAATGGTAAGCAATCGGCGTTGTTCACATCGTAAATACTTGGTGGTGAGGATTGGGAATGTGGGGTGGCGGCTGGCGAGGTTGGGTTTCTTTAACCTCACTCACACGGCGAAAGTCGGCGAAACAAAACTAAAGCGATGTTTCACACCCGTCTGTGAGACAGCAAAAAAACAATGAATTTATTTTTGTAAATAGGCCATAAAACCACTTTTACACGTCAATATTATAGGTATGTAAAAAACTAGATGAAGCCGGCATTTACTATCTGACTACTCTGAGAAGAAATGCCGAAACAAACTCAGAGGTCCGTCTCTTTTCAAGACCAGAGGCCGTGGCATCACTCTCCATGGTTCTCCCAAACTTACAATGAATGCAAAACAAAAGCTATACCCATCCAAAGATTTATAGCGTTATACTGGTAGTACGTACCTACAAAACGAACAGGATATGGACAATCTGATAAATTGTTAAATATAAGTACTATCTACAATAAAATTCTACATACCTACTGCACATTCTCATAAGTAGGTCTGTACCTACATAGTTAAATTGTCAGCGGTTAGAGTTCATTGACATTTCTAACACTATTTTCATTGGATATATCGGGAAATGATCAGACAGAACGCATGTTAGTATCAGCGCCATCTAAAAACACTTGTAACACTATAGAAGTTACAAGTGCGTTGTCGGTTTCTGGGGGTCGGGTAGGGATAGAAACCCGTCCTGAAAAGGATTTGCTTCTTCTGACACCTTGTAATATGAATGTCAATCCTGGATCTTAGTTTATCTTGAGGCCTTGGTATCACTCCGATGGAGTCAGCCAATACATGCAGAAGCCGTGAAGGTACTTACTAACGTTAATCGAATTTACCTAATTCTGGGTAGGTAAATGGCAATTAATTTATAGCTAACTAATACTAGCTTCTCTTGTGCGCTGTTCGGTTTCATTTGATCGTAGCGTGAAGTTTTATAGCCTATAGCACTCAGGAACATTGTAGCTATCAGTGCGAGAATTTTGGCAATCCGACCAGCGGTTCCGACAAGATTACCCCCTACATATAAACTAACAAATTAACAAACTTACAAATTTTACCTCTTTGTAATATACCTACATAAATAATATGCGATATTCGAAATTTATTTAAGAATCCCATGTATTATAGGTAAAAAGCCACATACTAGGACCAGTTCCAAACTCGAGCGATTAGTGAAGTTTTGGATAAAGCGAAAAACCTCATTAATATACCAACGAGTTGTTCATACATTTATTTAAATAACTCTGTAGCTCAGAAAAAATTAAAAACGTCACGTTTCTCTGAAAAAAGGTTGACGACTTTGTGGCGACACATAATTATAGTACCGTCAATGTTCAACAGATGGCGTCACAAGTCCTACATCAAACAAGTGAAATTTGTGCTCGAAGAAACTCGGATAAAAATCCCAACATACAAGTGTTGGGTAGTAAGCCACCACGCTGATCACCTCGTCTAGTCGGAGGATCCTCCTTTTCCAATCTTAGGGAATTTTACTCTTTGTTAGTTTGTACCCAATACCTTCTTTGAATTGCAGGATTGTGTTGGGCTTGTTTAAACAAGGTCTAATTGTTGAAACACATATTATATACATGTCACACGACAGTGACATTAATTTTTTTTATCAAACTATTATTCTAGTTATATGGCACAGAGATAAAATTGCATTAAATGGTAAGAAAAATGTATTTGTGATGCGATGGTATATAGGTAGATAAGTCTATTTTGGATTCAGCGGCAGGTAACGCGAAGACAAACAGGAGAAAAAAGGAAGGTGGACTTTACGGTGGCAGTGTGCTCCGTTTAGACTGAGCACCGCTGTTTCCCCGAAAAGCGATTGGCAGCGGCGACCTCACGCATTTTTTTGTTCTTCGTCATCAGGCAGAGCAAGAGGAACTACGTAGCCATATTCACCTTTTTCGAAGTAGCATGCTCACAAAGAAGGTAGAAGAGTTCTTGAAGAAATGGGCCTCCACACACCTAAATGCTGCTCAAACAGCAATTAGACCAGAAGGGGTCTGAGAATCTATATCTATATCGGAGAATCTAGAAAGGCCGATATCCAGCCAAGATTGCGGCTGCTAGCGCAATAATGTACTTACTGTGGCCCCGGCAGGAGTAGTAGATGGAACAATTTTTTCCACCCTCACAAAAAGGTTAGGTAGGGAGTCCTTACTTTCTTTACGAATTCGTGGCATCCATGGTAGGTAAAAAACATATCAAAGCTACTATGAATGTAAGTATACGTATGTGACATTTATGTATCTTTGTTCTTCTACTTATAGACAGAAGCTGAACAAGTAAACTTGGAAGTCAAAAATGTAGTCTATCCCTTAAAAATACTTACCCTAATAACTTCTGGGCATGCGTAATGGGGACTACCACAAGATGTCTCTAGCAGCGATCCAGCCGGCTGCAGCGACGCCATCCCGAAATCTGCTATTTTTATATTATTCCGCTCGTCCAATAGTAAATTTTCAGGCTTCAGATCGCGATGGCTGAAAAATAGACAATTTTAATGTTAATAATGTTAATTGTGCCCTATCAAAATGTCTGGTCATTCATATTTTCGCTTAGTTTTTCACCGTCTAAAACTCTAAACCCTCCCTGGACTTCCAAGACTATTTCAAGGCCAAAATTAAGTAATTGGTTCTAGCCGTTTTCGAGTTTTAGCAAGACTACTTTAACGAACAGCAATTCATTTGTTTATATGAGAGAAAAAGATAGAAGATCGGACATAGATAAACCGATACAGTATACTAGAAGTTTGTTATTTTAGTTGTAGTTTGTTGTCATCAATACTAGATGGTGCTAGTAGTAGTAAAATTTAATACTGCATAACAAGTACAACAAATTGAGACCTATGCTGAGTGGCACTGTTAAACTTCTTGTACTCACTTAATATTGTGATAGAAATTATTCGAAAACAATGAGAAATTAATATAGATACTTACATAATTTTCGTCATTTAACATTCTTGTGAACAGACAATGAATTGCCAGATAAAAAAATTCTAACGAAACTAATAAAATCATGCTTGAAAATTTTCGTGATATTGAGATTAGGGTATACGATTCCTACCGTAGACCTAATCACAAACCCTTCAAAAGTTAGCGTCGCATTCGTAACCAAATCTAATCCATTAGCAAAGCTAATTGCTCAGGTGTTCCGTTTTCTTGAATCATCGTCCATTCCGCAGAGAAAAAACACTATCAAGAATAATTTTAATGATGAGTGTTACCTATTTAGGTTCACGTAAGATTGAGAAATAATAAAATTGAATAGGTACATACCAAATAGAATGACTATGACAGAAGTCCAGCGCAGATATGATTTGTCTAAAGAACCTCCGCGCCTCTTTGGGAGTCAGACGGCCTTTCTTGACTAAATAGTCGAAGAGTTCACCTCCACTGACATGTTCTAACACTAAATATCTGAAAAATATACAAAAGATATGTTAATTTTATTTTTATTTTCTTCATCCCCATCCCTCCCCAATCCATAAATCTACGAAACCCCAATCGCCAAAGGACCGGCAACCATATGCACTCAATGGTGTGTCGAAAATATGGTGGAACAAATGTTATAGTTTTATAGGTGTGTTATACATAACATATTTCCCCCTCATTTTGGGAATGCAAAATTGTACTTAATAGGTATACAATGACATCGCTCTCGTAGTTCCTCTGGTGTAACGAGTTTCCATGGGCTGTGCCGATTGCTTACCGTCAGGTCATCTGTCTGTTCGTTCATTGTATAGGTATGTATATTGTATAGGTAACGATTAAAGTACAATTTTTTTTTAGTATCGTTATTACTTCCTCGAGTTTTGTTCTGACTGTGGTATGACCTATTTCATAGAGACCGGTAAACCGTAAAAGATGTTCTCTGATAAACCTGATTGTTTTATACTGCTATCTCCAACTCGCCTGCCAGGGGAGAGAGAGAGGGGGAAAGAAACATAGAAGAAAAGAGAGGGGAGATCATGGCAAATCCTGATAAGAAGGGGTAATTCATAGTTCATCAGTCTACTATAACGGTCTGTGAAAACCGAGAACTGACTCTTAATATGTTTATTTGTAACTGTTAGATAAGATATAGGTATACTTACAAATATTTCTTATTCTCGTAAACGTCGGACAGTCCTAAAACATGGGGGTGCTCTATCAATTTCATAATTGCTATTTCTCTTTCCACCTGAAAGAATAATACAATTTTGTTGCAGTTCAACGAAAAGGTAACAAATTCTGCAAATTAATTTAGAATATTAACTAAAAGATGGCGCTGTTTACAACTTTTTAAAGATAAACAAACATGCACGAAATTATTGGCATGACGCGTGTCCAGACCAGAGATAGGTAAGCAGAAGAAAGTCTTGAATCGTAATTGATTACTTTGACTTAGATCTAACTTCACGATATGTGCAATGGCTAGACAATCGGCTGTTTCGAAACGTGTCCGAATCGAATTCCCCGCACCATGTCAATATTTCTTTGTATGAATTAACATATTATTATTCGGGGTTTAATTGGTGTGTATGATGAGAATTTTTAATTTTGGTCTTTCAAGCTCTCATGTTAAGGTAGAAAGTCTTATTATGAACCATTTTATTTAAAAAAAGTATACATATGGTATTTATTACCTTCATTAGTACAGATTCGCTAAGTTTCTCCCGGTTGATGATCTTGATGGCGACTTTCTTGCCAGTGACGCAGTGCACGCCCAACTTCACCAGACCTGAAATTTTTAGAAATGGTGATTAAAGATTTATGACTAAAATTAGTCAAAAAGACGGAGTCATTTAAAGAACTTGAATAACATTTTACATTACCCCATAAAAAGCCCAATGGGTAATGCAGAGGTGCTTTTAATTCTAATTGGGGACTTGTCTTCATGAGATACCTAAATCAGGTCTCATAATATAGGTACCGTAATGTGAAATATAGTTTCCTTTTTAACCCCCGACGGGAAAAGAGAGGTGTTATAACTTTGACTTGTCTGTCTGTCTGTGGGATCCTGGCCTAAAAGGATAAAGCGATTTCAATTTGTTTTTTTTTTGTATTAACGGTGACTTACGTGCGCGTGTTCTTAGACATGTTTGACGAAAATCGATTGAGCCGTTTAGAAGCTATGGGGGTAAGTGGGGAAGGGTAACCGAAGGTCTGCAAATATACTCGAGTGGGGTCTCAAATGAAAGCGCACTGAAAGGGATTGTTGATGACTTAATCGAGAGAAAATGAAATAAAATACCTATAAAAAGTATAAAATAAAAAAATATATTAGACCGCCGACAAAATAGAAATATGTACCTAGTATATAATAAAATATTTGGTTCGGCCCCCAACGCCACGTTTTTTAATTATTACTTTTTAAAGGAATATTACTTATTAGTTTGGTCGGACACGTAGTTTCTCACGCCAAAAATTGGCATAATTTATGTTATCTACCACCTAGGTACTTGCTTATAGTATTAATGTTTTGTAGAGAAGTTTTTTTTGTGATGAGAAAATAAATCAATAAAATTAATTTCGAAGAACTCTGATTAGTTTCAAAAAAGACTCGCTCAAGATTATGAGCTCTACGCGCGCCTTGAAACTAGTCGAGTTCCTCGTCAAACAGTTACGAGAGTGAGCCATTATGTTTAACAATCATTTATTTAATTAATACCTAAACTACTTATTACTTAAAGTTAACATTCCTGAAAACAATTTAGATACCCATACCTAGTTAGTTTCTCGACCTATCTAGGTTAAGTTTGTGAAAACAGAATACAAATTCACACGGTTCACAATTTACATTTTAGATTTAGTGCGAAACCTGGGTATTCCTTTCAACGTTTCCTGTACGACATATCCTACTAACATAGAGGAGTTAATACCTCTTTCCACATTGTTAATATTATTAGGATAAGTCTTTTTTTATGTGATAGGACGGCCAATGAGCTTACGGATTACCTGATGATAAGCAATCAGCGCCGCCTATTGACACCCGCAACAGCGGAGGAGTAACGAGTCCGTTGCCGACCTTTTGGGTTGGCAGATTTAGGTATTAGGAAAGAAACGCTGTTTTTTTTTCATACCGGTTTTCTGTGAGGCCGGGGCATCACTCCGGTAGAGCCGACCTATTCGTGCCGAAGCTCTCGCACTTAAATAATTAATTAACCCCATAATTTTAAAACAAACAAAACTGAGATGCATTATTTGTATTTTTGAAATAGCTTTGGGTGTGGTGACTTGGAGGCCTTTTTGACATTGGCAAACATACTCACATCACCAGCGTATAACTGCCCTCTGCAAAGACCTCTTCTCACACGGAGAAGGTTTGAGCATTAATCCCCACGCTTGCTTACGTAGATTGGTAATTTTAAAGTAATCATTATCTTTCCAGATACATGAATAAGTATAAAAAATATATATACAATGGCGTCTGAAGTTGTGATTTTAGGCAAGAAACTCATTCCTGACAACTGCCTCATAATATAACCGTCGAAAAGTGGGTGTTACGGTGTATTTAACGTAAGTTATTAAATTGTTACCAACAAAACAAAGAAACCTAAATTAAAAAGTATTATCAGCTCTATAGCATGTCCAATGCACACTTGATATCGAAGAAGACACTATAATTCAACATCATTCAGTCATTGGAGTCGGAAAAGGAAACAAGTGTATTTCTAAATAATGTCCATAATTCACGGGTAAGTTACTGCATTCATAAAATGAAGTTATATTGTAACATTATCTCTCTTGAATGTAGTTGCAGTAAATTGCGTATTTTCCAAGCCTGCCTTTTGAAATATTATATCTTAAACTTTCGCGTTGAATATTAATACTTTACTGTGTTAGTGTGTTATTGATTTTTTACTTAACGTTTCGGCAAGGTTACAAGCCAAGTTTAGCAAAATCTTTGACTAATCCTGCCTTTTGATAGTTAGGATTGGGGTTATGGGTAAAATTTGGCTTTTGTAGCTTCACTCACCCATGAGAAGACCATGATACAACTCCAGTCGAGCTGGTTCATTCGAACTAAAGCTTGGCTTTCTTACTCTTAAGCCTAATAGTTATAGATGGTCTTATATTGGCCTACTTCTCAATTTACTTAATATTTCATCCGATTGAGAAGTTTAACTGACTCCCGATTTTGGCTTAACTGGTCTAAGAAACTAGCAGATCGCATGATGGTAAGCGATCACCGCCGCTAATCACGGCAACATAGAAAAACAATCACCGTTTCTACTGGTTTAGTTGTTTTTATTTCAATTTTGCTGTGCGAGGCCGAAATTATCTTAAAAACGCACAGTTGTCTGACCGTCGACCATCTGAATGATACATTAACGCTAATATATGAAGCTTTTCCCAGGATCTTAGTTCTAGCAGTGCTGGAAATTATCAGCAGTTCTTCAGCTATGAAGTATCACACAGCTACGATACAGTCAGTGCCACCCAGCGTCTCGCTGACACCAATAGCGGACAATCAGAATACTGGAAACTCTATTCCGGATCCAATAAGTGAGTATCAATACGTCTTTGACTGCCAAAAGTAAGTCTTCTACGAATGCCTGATACTGGCGACCAGGCGTTGTGTTTCGCTGTGTGAGTGAGGTTGCCGGAGGCCCAATCCTACCCCTTCCCTATTCCCTCAATCCTTAATCCCCCAAAAGGTCGACAACGCACCCGTAACTCCTCTATTGTTGCGGATGTCCATGTGCACCATCAGGTATGACAGAAAAAACTTAAACCTCCTTCTTAACAGAGAAACAGGTTTAACAGCTTCTTGACAATTTTACCACTCGATACTGGTAATATGGGGCCTGTTGTGGGGCAAGCGCAATAGGTATTTGCGGCCTAGGCCTAGAGCAGGAGAAGGAACGGGGTGGTGTTTAGTCAGTAAGAGTCTGACACACCCTCTCGCTCCAGTATAATAATACCTACTTACTGAACGTATCTGAACAAAATTTGGCACATAGATAGTTTATAGACTGGAACATCATACAAACTAGTTTTATCCTCGCAGAACCTAGTAGTTCTATAAAAATATCTCTTTCTTGGAAGCTTACTAACCTAACCTAACCAAACACAGATGTTTGGCTACATATCTTTTCAATTTCAATACAAAAATCAAACGAAAAAGTGTAAAAATCTATGAAATACACGATATTTTCAACGGCAAAGCGTTGTGAATAGAATCGAAAGCCATTCAGTTACACGAATTGACTAGTCTCCTAGGAAATAACATTGTTGAGGGTCTTGTCAGCTGTCGATAGGCCGCCATTTTGAAAAGCGGGTCACCAATGGCGATGCTTGTGAGTTTGAAATTCGGTTCAAAAATGGAATTTATTGTGTACATTGATTCTTTCGGTAACTGCTACTTATGTAAGTTTAAAGCTATGCTTCGGCACGAATAGACAAAAGCCCTTTTACACAATGCAAGTTTCGTGATATAATCTATACATCGGTATCACGTAAGCGAGCCTTTAATTGCGAAATTCAGTTTTTTTTTCTTTCTTATGTTATACGTTGGCAAACGAGCAAACGGATTACCTGATGGTAAGCAATCAGCGCCGCCCATGGACACCCGCAACAGAGGAGTTACGAGTGCGTTGCCGACCGTTTAGGGATTTGAAGATTTAGGGATTGAAGAGGGATTGGGGGAGGGGAAGGATTGGGCCTCCGGTAACCTCACTCACACGGCGAAACACAACGCTGTGGTTGTTTCACGCCGGCTTTCTGTGAGGCCGTGATATCACTCCGGTCGAGCCGACCCATTCGTGCCGAAGCATGGCTCTCCCACACTTAAACAACACAGTTATTAGGTACTCTTGTAATGATTGAGGTTACCGTAGGCATAATCCTTCCCCTCCCCAACGCCTAATCTCTAAAAGGTCGTCAACGCTTTTTCGTAACTCCTCTGATGTGTCCATGGGTGGCGCTAATTGCTTACCATAAGGTAAACCTTCAGCGAGTTTTCCGTCCTATCATATAAAAAAGCATCCGAAACCTCCAGCTGAGCAGTCACGTTACCAACCACTCGACCAACGATGCAATAATTTTATGAAACCGTAATGTTTACGAGAAGTTTAATTTAACTGGAATTTATTACTCTGTGGTTGAAAGCTTGGAACCTTGCCCACGTTTAGCCAATCAAGTTTCAATAATGACTAATAGCAAACTAAATAGAATTAATATTAATATTGAAACTTCACAACTGCAACTGTAATTAACTGCATTTCTAAGTTAACTTAATATTTAATGTTTACTATAGTTCGTTCCATAATTAGAGACAACAATTTGACAACAGCAAATGTCAAACTACAAAATAATGTGGCCAGATTTATATAGTTTAGTCGAATTAATAATAATAATTTAAAATTAAAATGCGAAATCCAAGACTGGTTAAAAGAAAACATTTTATTTGAGGCACCTATACTGAATTGAGCCGAGCTGTTGGAGATTTCCCGGAAAGAGTAACTATGAATGATACGTAGTGGACTGATGGCTGCTAAAAGGGGCGTCACTATTTTACTTTTACCTCCTTACCATTGCGATTTTAACCCGACTGAGTTAGTGTGGGCACAGGAAGGTACCAGGGAAAGTAGCTAAAAATAATAAAACTTTTAAAAGGCACGAAGTCCAGAATTTAATTTCGGTCTTTCGGTCAATACCGGTCGCGGGACTTCACTATTTATGAAATGGAAAAAACTTGCAACACTCGAAATGTCAAATCGTTGTCTCTAATTATGGAACGAACTATAGAGCTACTGACAATGACGTTATATCCTCTTTGGCTAGTGAGTATTCGACCTTTTTTAAAGTTAGAAAATCAGCAAATGACTTTACCCGCCCTGGGTTGTGGGTAAAGATTCAAGATTAGTAGATTTGTGGATTGAGGATGGGAAGAAGAAAGGATTTTTATATTTTTGAAGAGGAAAAATCATTGAACAATTTTGCCCCCTTTTGGGGTCGCGACGGAGTGTCAAACTCTTACAGACTAAAAATCTATCTAATCTAATCTATGATCTACTAATCGAAATTTACAATTTTCGATACTTAGTAAGAATAGAACATTTTATGGGTGAGCAATTCCACAATATTCCAGGCACGCTTACCATCGTTCGATCAAGATTGCGGGTACAAGCGCGATCAGGTATTATGGTTTTCAGCCGGAGTTGCGGGGTAAGCGCAATGAGGCACTCAATGCGACCTCGGCCTAGAGCAGGAGTAGGAACGCGGGGGGTTTTTAGTCAGTAAGAGTCTGACACTCTCTCTCGCCTTACCCTGGGCGGGAGAAGTCATTGGATGATTTTGACAAAAAAAAGGTATTATGGTTTCGATTCGGAGAAGTTAGTACTTTTACAGGCTGTTTTTTTAGTATGGGAGAGTCTGAAGTTCCCTTTCGTTCCCCCTAGAGCAGTAGAAGCCATTTTTTGACTTTTCCTCTGTCAAAAAAAAAAACGACCGTCTTAAATATTTTTTAAATTATCTTTTTCAGATCCATTCCTAACCAGTTCGTTGCTACAAGCGCTAGTCGAAGAGTCTGAGAGTAAGAAACGCGTACAAAGGTACCGAGATGTCGCCTGAAATTTTAAATAAAGTAGTTTCTTATACAAATGTCGTTTTATTCACAAATAATTAAGAACTTTTTGCCGTACATTTATAGAATGGTGTTCAAAGTCAAAAAAAAAGTAATAGGTACACATTTTTCAGAATGAATGAACCAAAACAACAATGAATATATTCACAGGTTGTTTTATTGTGAACAGATGATTTATTTTGCAACTTAAACGACAAATTCTAGAACCAATAGTAGTACTAGTACTCTTACTATACAATAGACGGGATCTTAGTAAGGACTTTGTGCGCGAATCCAACTTGAACATGGTCCGTTTTTTAAACGACCTTCATAATTGGTCATTAGTCTCATTTCCTACCTGAAGGCAAGTCAACAGTCGAACTATCACATATCTATTTCAAGATTTAAAAAGTAGGTATATTTACCTGTCTGTCCCTTTCCCAAGGTCTTCTCCAGTCTGAAAGGTCCAACATACTGATAGACCTCTGAGGTCCCCGTTGAACCTCCGCCTTCCATCTTCACTCTTGACGCCGGGTACAATCACGAACATAAAAAATAATCACATTTCACCAGCATTGTTCAGTCATTTCGCCGATAGATGGCGTTGTAATAACTTTATAGTCATTTTATTTTTTTCAACACTAGTGGTTCTTCCGGTGCACTTGCATACCGATTAAGTGTTTTTTTTTAAATTTGTTATCTATATTTTAATTCAGTAAAGTCAGTGTTGTTCTGCCTAAAATTCGATTAAAGTTTTTTTTTATTAGAATGTTGATTGCTTAACTAAGGATTCCTGAGCCTCAATTAGGTATGCCAAATTTTTTCAAATCGATTATTATTAGAAAATGCCTTATGTTTAATCAAGATGTAGTATCTTGATTCGTTATTTATATATCGTTATTTTTTTTTCAAAGAGTAACGATGTAACAATGTTTCTTGCTCCGTTCTTCGAGAATATAATCTACAATATTTTAAAACGAGCAACTAGTATCACTCATGGACAATTCAATTTTGATTTCCACAAAAGTGCCTGTTTAGAATTTAATTGAAAAAAGAAATAATAATGTCATTATCTTGTCTCTATCCATCTTGAAATATTTGCGTATCATTCTATTAGTCTGTACATTTTTCAGCCTAGACAGTGATTGGTCGAAAAAGATCGCAAGCTACACTAACACCACCTAGTGAAAGCCTTGAAATGGTAGCCCATATCAGGGTCATTGACATCAGACAAAAAAGTAGCAAGTTAGACATGTTGGCGCCCAACGTGGGACTGGAATTGTAACACAAAAGCTAACTCAAATTTTTTGTTCACCAAAAGATTAAATACCGTCCTTGAAGGTCCTGTGCTGGATTTTCGGCTTATAAGAGGACTTTTCTGTAATCTTCACGTTTAGTAGAGTTAGAAATCGCATTACAATTGGCTCATGTTTATCAGGGAGCGCTGCTGGCCAGTTTCTGTCTAATGAGGTATTCCCTTAATCAGCTCTTACGACATCCACGGGGAATGTATGGCGATGACGAATATATTCTACTAGCTACTGTCGTGCAGTTTCACCCACTGCTCGGTTGTCTATACTACATATATTGTCGGTGTGTCTGTGGCTGTATTAGTCGTAGGGTGATGTTTTATAGCCCATAGCACTCAGGAACAATGTAGCTGTCTACCTATCAGTGAAAATTTACCCCCACATACAAATTTTACCTAAAATTTTAAGATATAGTCTATGCCATAGACTATAATAATATTATTATCAAAAGGTCAACAACCTTTGCAGTGATATTCCTTATTCTACACAAGTGGTTAAGTAACCAATCATTTCTCAGAATCGCGGACTTCCCGACTTGAATTGACAAATCAATATATCTATTTGATAATTCAACGGGTTTGATGGCCGTTTCAATGCAATTTTGTAAGTCGAATAAAACGCATTACTGAAAAATTCAGCTTGTAGGCTTGTACACAATGTTGCACAATGTCTGTGGTAACAACAGGAGTTTATTCGTCCGTAAGAATACCCCAATATACATATACATTTCTTGTTTTCTAAAAATTTCAGAACCTACTTCTGGCAACAACGAACACATTAAAATAAGGATTAGCAAAATTGGTCCAGGCGTTTTTGAGTTACCAACACATTTAGCTTTTCATTTTTTAATTATAAGATAAATCAGCTAGAATGATCATTTATATCAGCAGTGAAAAGATATATTTTTTTTTAATCTAGGAAACTACCCGTTTGAAAATATTGATATAATCCCATCTCCTAAGGACAAAAAGGGGTCACCTTAAAAGGATATCCTACCAAAAAATATGTTTAAGTTTATCCTTTTTCCGGCTGTTTTCGATCCTATAGTCCAATTTTTTGGTATAAAACTTTTGTAATGGTTGTCGATCCGTATCTATTTGTTGTTACAAACTAATGGTAGAGATTCAGTGGTGTTTGCCAAAATGGACGAAAAATGGGTGTACCTATTGTATGTGAAGTGGAATTTATGGCTTTATCGGATTTTCGATATTGTACGATATACGTGTGTTTTTATGGTGTGGATCGGCAAATGGGCAGACAGATTAGCTGATTGTAAGCAATCAGAGCCGCCCATGGACACCCTCAACATTTCGGATACAGTATTTAAGGATTGGGAAGAGATGGGGGGAGAGAGAGAGGGATTTGGGCTCCGGTAACCTCACTCACACGGTGAAACACAACGTTGTGGTTGTTTCACACCGGTTTTCTGTGAGGCCGTTGTATCACTTCTGTCGAGCCGACTCACTCGTGCCGAAGCTTGGCTCTCCCACACTTAGATGTATTTATAATTTGCATGCTCATTTTGGCCACGAAAATGTCTGCGTAATGTACTAAAATACCCGAAGAAGAAGAGTTAATTATTACGTAAACAATGAACTGAAATTCCTAAAGTGACAATCTTTCAGTTTTGCCTACAATTATCTTGGAGCGCCGCCGCGCAAATATTTTCAGTCTTCAGTAGGTAGGTAACTGAATTGGGTCAGCGCAGCGTAAAAGCCTTTTTGCAATTGTTGGATGACTGCCAGTCTTTAGTCTTTAGAAAAGGTGCAATAGAATTTAGACATTTTTAAATTGGTTTTTCATATTCGTCACATAGCATATCTTCACCATCACCGGTCTTAATGGGCCAAACAAAGGCCTACAAAGAGAAGAAATGAGCATTAATCAACATGCTTTTACAAGGCAAACTGGCGATATAAGTAAGTAAACAAAATTATAAGGTTTCCTCACGGTAGCTGAAGTTGCGGGTCAAGCGCAATATGGTCTCGTCCTGGAGCAGGAGAAAAATTTTTAAGTCAGTAAGAGTCTGACACGCGCTCTCACTGTACCCTGGGTGAGGTAAGTCATTTGAAGAGTTTCGATCCTCAAAAAACGGTTAACTCACATTGTTTTCCTTCACTATATGACAGTGGTGTCTAAATAATCTTTAGAAGGTACATATAACTCGGGAAACTTGACATTGCTACTTAGAAGCGAGTGCCATAACCTCCGGTCCATTACGGCATAGGTACGATTTTTCACGAAATTCAACAATTCGATAATAGCCTAAGTAATTTTTATTGGTAGGTAAGTAAACCTTGACCCTTTGTTTTTTTTGTAGTATGGTAACACCGAGTGCTGTGTGTAATCTGATTAAACACGAGTCGTAACAGTAATTGGTAATTACATTTTATTTATTTAAAACTAACTTTTTTGCCTTATCGGCTAGCCTAGCAAGGTCTCGAACTCAAACCATAGACCGAGCAAAGAAGAGTAGTGAAGAAAAGAAGAGAAGTGTGGGAAAGCCATGCTTCGGCACGAATGGGCCTCACAGAAAACCGACGTGAAACAACCACAGCGATGTGTCTCGCCGTGTGAGTGACGTTACCGGAAGCCTAATCCTTCCCTTCCCTCAATCCTAAACTCTCCTAATACCTAATCCCAAAAGAGAAGTGTGGGAAAGCCATGCTTCGGCACGAATGGGCCTCACAGAAAACCGACGTGAAAAACCACAGCGATGTGTCTCGCCGTGTGAGTGAGTAATACCTAATCCCCAAAACTTTCTCGTTACTCCTCTGTTGCAGCGAGTGTCTGGTATTCCGTTTGCTCGTTTGCCTTCCAATCACATAAAAAAAAAATTGGTTACCTAATTTAGGTTTTCTGATTGTTTGTTAATTACCATCTGGAATTTTGTTCTGGTAATAGTCCCTTAACTGGTGAAAAACGGGTTCTATTTTTTATTTTGCCAGAAAGAGATAGATAAATAATAAACACGATACTATAAAATTGTTGCTGTCACTGTCTTAGACAAACATTCTAACGCAACAGCATCATAATTATTCCCCAGGTAACTTTTATCTTCAGCCGGGGTTGCAGGGTAAGCGCAATGAGGCACCGCGACCTCGGCCTAGAGCAGGAGTAGGAACAGGGGGGTTTTTAGTCAGTAAGAGTCTCACACTCCCTCCTGCCTGACCCTGGGCGGAAGAAGTCATTAGATGATTTTCCCCTCACAAAAAAAAGGTAACTTTTATCTAACCATTGAAAAATCAGCCCTAAAATCATCAAATTAAAATTCTGTTAGTCGCCTATCCAAAATAAGAAATTGATTTTAATATTTATTCGAAATGGGCCTGCGTTCGGCCTCTATGTTCGGCATCATCGCCTACTATCTTGCATGATGATAGACGATTATGCAGCCTACGATAGAAGCCCATAAGAAACCTATTCACTCGGGCCTTGACGACACTCAGGTTAGGTACGTTTCGTTTGGGAAACAGCTTTGGTAGACAAATCCACTTTTTAGTGATTCTAATGAAAAACTTAAGGCGAAACGCTTCGTTGTGATAAAGGAATGAGCATTGATCACCACTCTTGCTTTAGACGGATTTCCGAATACAAAATTTAAAGTTGGTGTTTAAAAAATTGTAAGTCAGTACCTACCTAGGTAACTTCTAATGCCAATCAAGTGAAAGTAATTAAAAAAACGATAGCAGGCCTTATTTTTCTGATAATATTTATCAATTTTAAAGTTATAGGTACAGTACCTACCTACTTGTTAAAATTCCATGATTTTGTTATTTAAGTTAAAGATTTTTTAATATTGTTTTATATAGAATTCTAATCAAACACGTATATTTAAGGGTAGAAATACTATTTTTAGAATGTAAATATGGCGACCGATTATTTTTAAAACTCTTAATCGAAAATTAATTTATTAAAAAAAAATCGGAAAACTAATAAATTGTACCTACTTCAAAAAAAAAATGCGCGTGACAGATAAAATATTAAAAGCGAAAAAAAATTATGCAGGCTTTTCACACTGATCCGAATTGAGGCACAGGAATTGTTATATTCTTCCAATGTATTAAATATTTTATTAATGTTTACTGTTGCAGTGTATGTTAAATGACTTACTGAATTATTAAAAGCACTACACAATCTAATAATAACACTGTATTCCGCATACAACGTTTCTATCGCACGTCACTGGAAAATCAATATAGCCAGTCTTGATACAACTTGTGATCCACAAAACACTTGGACGTGTATCCGAAATGATACGCACTTGACATATTCGCGGGCATTTTCACAATATAAAAAATGAATTCTTTTTAATAAAAAAATGTTGTAAAATATTACATAATAATGTGGGTTGAGATTTTTAAATGTTTTCCGTGCGGGATCCGTACGCGTGCCGCTCGGGTATCGTCGGCTATCCTCGGCCCTTTCCGTCAGGGGTGATACTGGGGTGAAGCGAGTGAGTCATTAGCCTTAGAGGGGTGAATTCTCGTTCCGTTCCACGAACGAACAACTGATTTTCTTGTTGGAATGTTCTTTATACGAGTTTTAGTAGTCACATATTAGATATTGGTAATGTTATATTTTTTAAAACATCAATTATTTGGTTTATAGAAGTTAAACTTTTTAAAGTGATTATTGTACGCGTATGTACCTACTTAGACCGGTAAAAATATAAAAATGAATCAAAGTAACAAAGTACGCTATTGAATTTTATTTTTACATAGGGACTTCAAATGATTTTCATTAAGCCACAATAAGTTACTAGTATTATTACAAAAATTAAAAAAAAATCATGCAATGTAAAAGGCACTGCCATCTAGTGTTATAAAAATAAACTAAATGATTATATTCGTGTGCGGGGTTGCAACCAAAGCGCTATATGTAGGTACCGCGGCCCCGGTTCGGAGCAGAAGGAACGGGGTGGCTCAGTCAGTAAGAGTCTACCCCTATATTATATTGTAGTCTTTGAGTCTGACACTCTCTTTCATAGAACACATTGGATGAGTGTTCTTTAAAAATGTTTAACTAATTATAAGTACTTAGGTAAATCTTTAGATACCTTTGCTGATTTAGGTAACCTTCAAATCTATCGGAAAGACTTAACCTTACTTTAGGCTTTTTAATCTCAGAAGAGCTAAATAAAGGAAGAACGCACAAAGATACCTTGTAGCATACAACGACAATTCTAAGTCTCTTGTCAAGGTAAGGCATTCATTTGTGTGCGGGAGAGCCATGCGTCGGCAGGAATGCGCCGCAGGCTCGACCGGAAAGACCACGGCCTCACAGAATACCGGCATGAAAGAAAGCCAGCGTTGTGTTTTGCCGTGTGTGGGAGGTTGCTAAATACTATTGCTAGAAACCGTAAATAGCAAAAACCCTTTTTGCATTTGCAACTCCTTTGATGTTTATAAGATATATTTGTAAGCTAGTAGTTGCTCTTTTTGGTAAAAAAAAACGGTTACGAACATACAAGTTCACATACACATGACACCCAAACCTGGAACAACAATTTGTGGATCACACAAAGAGGTACTTACTCCTCGCACCTAGGACTGCGTCGGTGTATAAATTCCTTAATTTTTACGCCCGGGTCTTCACACGTATAAAAGTTATTTATCCCAGGATTTCAAAAACAGCAGCGTTTAAAGCGATGCATGGTTCGACTAAACTTCGCAAATCAAGTACCTATTGTAGAATGGAAATAGTAGTTACCTATCAGTGAAAGAATTTTGAAAATCCGACCAGCGGTTCCAAAGATTACCCCTTACATACAAACTTACAAATTTTACCTCTTTATAATATTAGTATAGATTAAAGATCCAACGAAACAGTCTCAGGTGCGAGGATGAGGTAGATATCTATTACATAACATATTGTTAAACTTGTTATTTGTCTTCCAACTATTGAGTATTTGAACATGTCAATTATAACAATGTTACAAAACAAACACGCCATCCCTTGTCTATTAGCAAAGGGCTATCATATTCCCTTTCACACAGGTAGACGAGCAACGTTTAGTTGCTGATGTAAGCGATTTTGTCGCTAATAAAACCTACCGTGTTGTATTGAAAGACGACTGTTTGTCCTAAACGATCTTCTCTTAACTAGAAATATCTACAGTAAAATTTGTAAATAATCAAACAATTTTTTAAGTCCAAAAATTATATTTGGTATTTCAACAACCGCAGCGTTTTATTTCGCCGTGTTAATGAGGTTACCGGTTGCCCAATCCTTTCCTCCACTAATCTCATAATCTCCTAATCCGCACAAACTCGGCAACGCACTAACTAGTATGTCCTTAATTGTCTATGACGGCGTTGATTGCTTACTATCAGGTAATCCGTCTGCTCATTTGCCGTCCTGTTACATTAAAAATAACTTCCGATTTATTTCGTTACCAGACACATTCATGTCCCTGGGACGCACAGGACTTTAGTGCTCCGGTGTTTTCATGGTTGTATCTACTGTAGATCCTGGCTTACAAGAGTTGCAGTGGTTTTGGGAGGTTGCGGAGGACTGGTCACAATTAGAAAGCAGTTTCGCTGACTAAATTACAAAGTGGTGCGTCTGCTAACTCTTTTGGTAATCAACTAATTACAAGTGGTCAACTTTGCTTATTCGGATAATTTGATAGACTTCTAGTCCTAGTCTAATATGTTTAGAAGTAAATGTATTGTTCTAAATCTATTTGACTTTCAAGTCCATTTAGCTTCCGCCAGCGGCTTCGCCCGCGTGCTGTGTTGATAAAAAGCAGCCTACATAAAATTTGTTATTAATCGTCTCATTTTTATGGGTACATCTCCAATGGGTAAATACCCTATTACTTACTAAGTCTCCGCTATCCGTCCGTCCATAGATAGAATGGTACGGATCTAACTAATAGGTAAGTATTACAAATACTTACTTATATATTATTATATTTTTTATGAATGATAAGTATATGACTTTACCGAAATGCGCTGACTACAGAGCAGACCTGTACCAACTCCGTCAGTTCCTTTACCGTTGTTGGTAAGAAAGTAAAAAATATAAAAACTGTGAGGCTGTGCTCTAGCTGTGACTGATATTCCGGCCTCACAGAAAACCGGCGTGATACAGCCACAGTGTTCTGTTATTGAGATTACCAGAGACTTCTTCCCCTCTCTCCAATTCCTAAACCTCCGAAACCCTTCCCAGAGGCCGGCAACGCACTCCTCCTCTGATCTCTGTTTCTATAGGCGACGCCGATTACTTACCATGAGGTGAATCAAATGCGCATCATAAGACGGATAGTATTATCACATAAAAAACTCCTTCCAAGCTTAGAGGAGGTCATAACATTATCTTCAGAACCATTAAAACGATTTATTTTTATGTCGCTTTAACTTTTCAATAGTGGTAATTTGAGACACATTAGAAGAACAATAGTTGCGCGAACGCTGGCGTTCGCTTGGGTTTTTATGACTCTAAAAAAGGAGTATATAGGCACTATAGGTAAGATCCTGATGTCCTTGAGTCGAAAGTCTAGGGTGTACCAGACAGCTTCAGCTCCGAGCTGGGGTCGCTGCAACGCAATAAGCGCTTGCTAGTTTTTTATATAAAATCCTTTTTAAATTAAATTTGGGAATCTATAATACGGTACTCCGTTAATTCATACAATTAAACCGTACAAATAAATTAGATATTCCAAAACAAAAGCGCTAAGTAGGAATCTATTAATTTATTATGAGTGACTATTGAATTGTTTTCATGCAAATACATTACGCTGCGTCAACAGTTACAACAAATAATTTAATAAAATGTTTTATTTATAATTCGGTTTACGATGCTACGGTGTGGGTCGTCATATTGACATAGGGGTTGTCAACATTTTGTTGTTTTTTGGGGGTTTGATGAATTTTTATAATAGACAGAGGGGTTCTTCCCTCAGAGTAGGCTGCGCGACGTCGCCGCGTCCGCGCACGCTGCTCATGAGGAAGAACCCCTCTGTGGCAGACGGGGCCCTATAGGGCTGATGTTCAGCCGGGGTTGCGGGTTAAACGCAGAGCAGGAGAAGGAACGGGGGGGGGGTTAGTCAGTAAGAGTCTGACACTCTCTTTCGCCTAACCCTGGGCGGGAGACGCCATTTGATGATTTTCCCCTGACAATAAAAAAAAACTTTGAAATTCTTTGAAAAACTTACACTATGTTTTGAACCTCTGTTGATTTTTAAACTTTTAACTCTGTTAATTAATTATACCTGTGTATATGCTTCGTAAAATTCGAGTCATAGTGTTATGATCATTTTGTGTCCGTCATTCTCCTAGATCGCACCACTTCAAAACTATGTGAGTATTGTGTAAAAACTTTTTTTATTTTTTCAGGTAAGTAGGTACAGTTTTGTGGGATGGGGCGGGAAACGAGCCAACGGCACCAGCGACCCCTCTGGTAGACCACTTCATAAAGTGTGATGCTGGCTTTTTGAGGTTTATAGATTTAGATGTCAGTCTTTTGGGGGTCGATTTAAACGTTGCTCCGCCGATTTTCTATAAGACGGTGGTACTGGCACATTTGCGCCTAAGCAACGCTATAGCATTTTAATACTAGGTACTTTCCCGGCACCGCTTTGCTCGTTTTTGCGACTTTAGCACCTCTACTAGCTAGCCCCCTTAAAGCTTGAATCCACATATTTTAAGCTTTAACGGGGCTTTGCTAACAAAGAATTTTCCATTGCGGACATCGGACCCTCTACACGTTGCGGGTAGCAGCTAGTTTCCAAGATGATACGAGAACCATAGAGTTAACTGTTAACCTTCTTATTATAACCTTCAAACCTTCAAGAAACGAGTATATTCCTTCTTAAAAGGCCGGCAACGCACCTGTAACTCCTCTGGTGTTGCGGATGTCCATGGGCGGCGCCGATCGCTTACCATCAGGTGATGCGTCTGCTCGTTTGCCACCTATTCCATAAAAAAAAAACGTAACTCGACCATATTTTTACGCAAAGAGTAAAGGTAATATAATGGGTATAATAATAGTACTTAATAGATATAATTTTTTTTGGTATTTTATTGGCAAGACAACACTTTAAAAATTTATGTTTCGGGTCTGAGTTTGAAATGTAGGATTGATTGTAAATTCACTCAAAACTTAGGCAAAACTCACAGTATCTATCCTGATATATAACGAAGGAAAAAAACTCTACATCCACCTGGTTTCAGATAATCCTAATGCATAATGAAGAAAGTGTAATTATTCACTATTTCCGTTCTTTACAGCAAAATGTTCGACACGTACGTGACACTATCAGCCGATCAATACAACGCAATAAGCAAGAAATATGAAGAATTCCAGAGAACCTGTGATGATGTGACGAAAGAACCTATCAAGGTATACAGTCCTCTATCACAGAAGAACTTGGAGGAGCTGTACCTCATCAGGGAAGTGAGTAAGACACTTCAGAAGAAGAAGGAGGAGGATATGAAAAAGGCTGCGGTATGTTCTTTTTGGTCTTTAGGGCGCAAAGCACATGGTTGGGCAGTCATTATGAGCGTAAAAAGTTTGTGTGTCGAGGTGGTCTTTTTTCGCCCTCTGTGTGGGTGGATAGTTTTGGATTCTCTTTGCAAGTCCTACCGTGTGTTTCGCGCCCTTACCTTACTTTAGTGTTTTGTTACCCAAAGTTTTTTTAGTACATTTATCCACAAAGAGATAAGACAACCAGCTCAAAATCGAAGGTATGTTCCGGGGTCGCGAGTTAAGCGCAAACTCGAGACCCCGGAACTACAACATTAAGGTTTCCACCACTCTCTCAGCCTGAAGCAGGAAAAGGAATAGGAGTTTTTAGTCAGTAACAGTCTGATACTTCCTCTTGTCATACCCTGGGCGAGAAAAGTCTTTGACGACTTTTCTCCTCAAAAATAGGTCGGTGGTAGCCGCCCAATCTGAAAATCATTGGGGGGAGCCTAAATTATTCAGTAATGGTCGTCTTTTGGCTGTTTTTATATCTAAGTAGCTATCCATTTAATCGTAGCTTGATTTTTTATAGCCTATAGCACTCAGGAATATTGTAGCTATCTATCGGTGAAAGAATTTTGGCAACCGACTCCGACTACCGTTTCCAAGGATTACCTCCTACATACAAACTTACAAATTTTAGCTCTTTATAATATTAGTATAGGTACATACGCTTTAGTACACTTCCGACTTTTTGTGAGGGTAGAATCATCAAATGACTTCTCCCGCCCAGGGCCGGGCGTGAGGGAGCGTCAGACTCTTACTGACTAAAAACCCCCCTGTTCCTTCTCCTGCTGTCGGCCCAGGTGGCGGTGCCTCATTGCGCTTACCCCGCAACCCCGGGCACTTCCGACTTTGACAAGTCATTGATCAACAGTAGGTGATACCTAAATAACTTGTCGGGTCCGATATCAACAAATAAAGGTATCTAAATCATTATTAAAAATTTCTTTATTTATATACAGCAAGCGGCAGCTGAGCAGGAAAAGAAAGCGGAAGAAGAAAAGCCTGAGGAGAAGGAGAAGACAGAAGAAGAAAGCAAGTGAGAGTTTCACACGCACTGTAGTTTAATTTACTTATTTATTAAAATTTAGTTTTAAGGAAGACTTGTTTTATTTTATAGGTACTTTTCAATCCAATTATTTACGTAAGATATCATTAGATATGACTGGAAACTGTCAGTTTTGTCCCTTACCTTCCCTTAAACCAACGATACCAGAGACTACTGACAATTAACTGTACCTTTATGTATGACGATTTAAATTAACCCCTCCACATACAAGGTAACTTTTTCGGACTGATATTTTGGTGGTTTACTTGCTCCTATAGGTATAATTGGGTAGGTACTCGTTTGTTTATAAGACAATGAAAAGTCCTTCAAACTTTTAAAATTTTGCAATATACAGTACTTAATACCTATTGTTACCTACCTATTGTTTTTTTAGATAAGTAAGTAGGTATCTAATTCAAGACAAATATTTTTGACGTAAAAATCATAGAAATATCATTTTTTTTATTTCTTTTGTTGGATTTGACTACTTGGGAACTATCCTATTAAGTAGGACCTACCCTGAATCCGTAGGTATTTAGGTAGGCTATATTTGAAGCTGACTGAAAAGAAACCTTGACTAAAAAAGAGAGCATAGAATACAAACAGTTAGTACCTAACAAATACATTATCTAAGCCCCAACTCTTATCTAAATAATATAAGTACCTACCCAAGTTTCAATACCCAACCCAAAGGCAAGAGCTACTGACGGTAATAGAAGCGCACAAATTCAATGTGTAGCAATAACTTTTTTGCCGCCGACTTTATGCTTTCGAAAATTGTCAAGAATTCGTCTGCGGGCGCGTTTTCGGTACATTACCAACTCATGTCTTTGTATTTGCGCGGGCGATGAGACGCGGCCAGTTGCCGCATTGTACGACGAATGCCGGACGCGCCACGTTTTGTTTTAGATAATGAGGCCTGCTATGACCTCCTGCTCACACAGGCACTCGACCAAAGAGTTGAGATGATTACTGTAACACGGGGGATCACGTCAAATCACGTGTCAGGGGCATCAGTAGGCTACTCGTCCCCTATAACACAGGAATTCGGATGACGGGTAAGGTATAATACTACAGGTAACCGGTGATCCGTTAATTAGCTAGATGTCTGTCTACCTCAGCTGTCTACCTATTTAACCCTTAAAGTTGATTTGTATAGCATACTATACACTAAACAAAAAAAAATATTCTGTTAAAACTAAATACTATGAAATGTTTTTTTCTATTAAAACGTAGTTTCAGAACGTACATTTTTAGAATAAAAAATACACGAAAGCATTATCTGTAATGAATTTGGCAGTTGTGACGTAAATGTGAAACCATGCCGAGGAATCCTGTTCCCGTTAAGGTAAAATCTATTATAATTTCCTAATTACTATAAAAATATATTGTTTGTGTTGAGGGTTCCAATCATAAGTGTATTGAGCTAATGCTAATTCTAAATTATCTACGTAATGTACTTATTTTCATCGCTTTTTACGAACGTTATCTTGGGTGTATAGCATACCATACATTGCGCCTGTTAGCTCAAAAAATATGTTTTTTGCTACGTATATTATTCTATACATTGCCAACTAATGGGTGATGGTGATATCGGTACAAAAATTTGACTATGATCATATTATGTTTGTTTGTTTTTTTTATTTTTCGGGATTTTTCATTACTTTTTGTTGTATGGTGTGGGCCTTGCTTTCATGCTTGCTTTTAACAAATTTGTTCTAGACTGGACAGCGCGATCGGTGTAGACGCATACTGGCACTCGTTCCTAAATTCAATGCTTCTTCCGACGTCAGTGATGCTACAAGCGATGAAGAAGAAGTCGCAGCTCATCCCCAGCTTCATCTATAAATTCATCCTGGAAAGACTAGATTTTAATAGCCCAGATCCGTCTAGTAATAATTCCTATATTGAAAACTCAATGAAAATTCTCTATTGATTCTACATCAAAACTACGATTCCATAGAATTTCAAAGTCACGAAACTGTAGCCGATATCTGCGAAGATCCACCACCAATTACACCAGTTCTTTCAATAGTGTTTCCGCCTGATACCATATACATGCTATGCCTTCTATCACCATCGCTACCCTCCTTGCCTTCAGTTCAACCGTCGCTGTCGACGCCACTACCTACATCAACACGTGTCCAGAGAAAACGCAGGGTTCCTATAGTTGCTGCCAACAAAGTAAAAAGACGAAACACACAGAAATTCAAACTATCCTTTCAATGGACCAAGAGAAGGTTTCAACATGTAGCTGAAATATCTGACCAAAGCTTAAACGAAACTGTCCCATCTGATTGGTTGGCGTTAGACTATTTCTATCGATTTTCCCTGAAGACCTTATTGTTGATGTAGCAAAGAACACTAATTTATATGGCGTACAAGAGACTGGAAAGTCAATTAAAGCAACAAAAGAGGACATCATTGACTTTTTGGCCATCAATATATTGACGGGAGTTGTTGTTATGCCATCTTACAAGGACTATTGGAAGACCAGTTATCGTTACGGTAAAATTGCAGATGTCATGCCAATCAAAAGGTTTCAGCAAATAAGGCGTAGTAGTAGGCGTAAGTAGTAAGTACCGCCAAGTAATGGCATTTTTAGTTTAGGCACCGCCAGAAAAAATAGGCTTCGAGAAGCCAATGCCTTATTATTATCAGACAAAGCTCTGCAGAAAAAAGGAAGGCTTATTGTCAAGCAACTTGCAATAAGAATAAAATTGCTATCGTAAAGCGGTTTGATAATAAGCCCCTTACCTTGGTTAGCTCGTATGTCGATGCTTACCCCGTCGAAAGTGTAAAGAGATTCCATAAAAAATCAAAAGGACGCATAGACGTACCTTGCCCACAAATAGTAAGACACTATAATAGGCATATGGGTGGAGTTAATCTAGCTGACATGCTTATTGCCTTGTATCGGACTAGTATGAAGACACATCGCTGGAATCTAAACATTTTCACTCAATTGTTGGATGAACGGTTGGCTTCTTCGCCGCCGCCGTTACCGATGAAGAAACATTAAGATAAAAGATGACCATCTGAAGCAGTTTCGATATGAGTTCTATGCTGGTCTTATAAAAGGCAACCGACAAATTGCGAAAAATTCAGTCCAGGATTCGGTCTCTGAGGAGAAAAAAATAAAGAAACCAGCCACTGAAAGGCCCATAGATGCCATCAGATATGACGCCGTAAATCACTGGCCTGAACACACCGAGTATCAGAGGTGCAAATATTGTTAAAAAGGGACAAGCGTCTACTCGTTGTACCAAGTGCAATGTTCATCTTTGTTACGTGGCTAAAAGAAATTGTTTTGTAGCTTATCGTAAGCACTGATATCTTTAATGTTATTTTTTATTATACTTTGAAAACATATTTTGCTGTCGTATTATTTTATTATCAAGCTATGTCCAAAGAATATTTTGTATATTATACTATACACCCCTTTCACATACGATTTGCTAACGCTGGGAGCAATGTATAGTATAATATACGCTAATTATCTCAGATAATTAGCTAATTAGATTTTTTATTCCATTTTTTCTACCCACAGTTTATGTCCAATAATGATAATCAGGTATTATTTTGATGTTTTATTTCGATGAAATGTCGTGCGACCTTAAGGGTTAAGGCTAGGTTTGTGTAATTTAATAAGGTTGGTTACCTATGACATAAATGTAAATCTATAATGTTATGGTTGGTGAATACAGTCAACCACTAATTGTATGACCCTACACTGAAACCTGAGAGACCATTTCATGGGGCTTGTAATAGTTTAATAAACGTTATTTACCTAAGTTTATGAACAGTAAACGAATATACAAGGCCTGCACTATATATATGTTTATTAAAATACTTGATTATAATATACACTTACTTTGTTTCATACCTACCAACAATGTTGCCGACAATGGGCAACATTCAAAAATAAAAAACAATAAAAAGCGGTTTGGCGTCTGAGGCGGCCGCTCCCTGCGCCCCTTCCCATGACTCATGTTGTATTTTTTGCAACTTGATACACATACCATACTTCGGCGTTTCTACATGAAACTGGCGCGGAAAAAGTATTCTTTTTTTATTAATCTGTGTAATCAAGGCTTATTAAATTGACAACTGCTGTCATTACTAAAAAGGCGGGAATTGAAAAATATAATATGCAAATTAGAAAATAAAATAGTTCAAGTCAAAAATATACTTGTTTTATTTATGTAACATCAACTTAAGCATATTGGAAGGTTACAAGGGAAGTAAATTAATTCAAACTACTTATTTATCATAGAAAAGTATAATTACTCCATAATAATACGTAGCAATATGCTAATATATGTGGTTCTAGCCTAAGAGTTGTCTGTCATGATATCTTCATCATCATCCTCAGGTTCAGCCAGATCCGGATGACAGACTCTGATATGCAGATTAAGATTAATTCTTACAATGAAACTTTTGCCACATGTAGTACACTTATGTGGTCTTTTGACATCGTCATCAACTGTAGGTGGATGCGCTCTTGTCAAGTGTGTACGAAGTAATGAAGCGTGCATCGTTCTATCACAATGTGAACATTTCACATGACAATCAATTGGCTGACCTTCATGCGTTTGTCTATGCTTCTCCATTGTTATTTTTGACACAAACAGCTTATTACAACAATCACATTTAAAATTTTTCACTTTTGTATGCTTCTTCATATGAATTTTCAAACAATTCTTCGTAGGGAACATCTCATCACATTTTGAACACTTAAACTTCTTTATGTCATTATGTAGTTGCATATGCAGCTTCAAATATGCTTGCCCAGTGAAACTTTTGTTACATATCTCACAATTTATTGTTGATGTTGATGAATGAGTTTGCATATGACTTTTGAGAAATTGAGCAGCAACAAAGCTACGGTCACAGACCTCACACATGTACTTTTTGGATGCAGCACCTTCATGCTTGCTTCTATGTATGTCTAGGTGATATTGAGAGTTCACTTTTACATCACACTGATCACATTTGAACTTACGTCGCTTTTTAGGGCCTTCTTTGTGATGTACTTGAGGCTCTGGCTCCATAATTGGAGTGTCTTTGTCGTTTCCATGAAATTTTTTATGCAACATCAAATACTCCATACCTTCGAACGTGAGATGACAGACATCGCATCTGTACCGCGGGTCATTTTGTTGCTGTTTCATATCGTATGTTACGTTTTCACCGTTGTAAGCTTCAGCCATTTTTTCACGTTTAACTGACGAACGGTTGTCTTGTTTGTCGCTCGACGCCGGCTCCATCATACTCTTCATCCAGTGGTCTTGAATGCCAACGCCGGATTTCGTCTCCATTTGGTGCACCGACGCTTAGCTGTAGCTAGCGCATATTAAGTGCGCGATATTGATCCGTATATCGCGGTGCTGTGGTCTTAAATTCGAGTAATAACACTATTTTAGCGTGAAAAGTGTTATTATTGCATTGTTTACGCGTTAGTTTTGAAGATTTCACGTTAAAATATCAGCGGTAACACAAAAGGGAGCCTTGTTACAGTACCATAAATTCCAAAAGAGAAGCGATGCGCGTTGGTTTTTTTCGGTCGGTTCATTGACAGCGGGAACTTTTTTTATTCTTGACAACCTCCCTGTTGCCATTGTAAAATATTTAACTAATAACTGATAAACAAACTAAATTCCATAAAAGCTTATTAGTATAATTTATTAAAAATAAAGAATTTATATGCGTGATGCATGCTTGATAAAAAATTACACAATAATTTATTTATTTGTATCTGATTTCAAAGATTTTTGTCGGCACAAAATATATTATTAAAAACAAAAACTTATGGCAAAAACTGACAGATGGAAAATGGCGTCTGCGATGATATGCGGTGTTTATTTTTATTTTGTATCCTTGAAAGCTTGAGTTGAACAGGATAATGTTGATAATGTTCGTGTAGTGCAAGTGATAGGTAACGTGTTTATCGACATGGCTTCTAGCTCGGAGGCTCCTGCTACGACATATGTCGATAGTTCTTCAGACGACGAGTGTTTGTCGGCGGTGAAACAAAAAGCCGAAATTGCTGAAGAAAACAGCAGATGCAGTAAATATGGAGAAGATAGTGATGATGAGCCGATCATGGCTGGAGTGCTGGTCACTGTGGAGGTGGAGGAAATGGACGAGGATTGTCCACTGGAGTTTAACAAAGTAAGTGCTCGAAACTTGACAAAACTATCTTATGAGATTGTTTTTAACTTGCGTATTTACGTGAGAGTAGCTCTTAAAACCTTGTTAATAATTGCCAATTTTCTTTAAATAGAGTAAGTATATGTATTTTTTTTAATTGGTTATTTATAATAACACAAGGGAATATAGTATTGATCCATTTGATTTCATGCATGAATTGGCTATGGTTCTAACATGTTTTATCGTAATTTTATTTATACATTAATAAGTGTTCTCTTTCTGTACCATAAAATCATACTAATTTTCTTCATAATGGTATGCAGTGATGTGTGAAACAAACTCTTTTTATCCATTATCTGCCCATTCTTGTTATTTTTTCAAGTCTGTTTTTATTTGTAAATTAATATGCTGATAAATCTCTTATCACTTAATAGGTGGATTTCAACTTTTGGAACCAGTATAGTTATCTTTGTAAACAAAAAATATGTTGTTTATTTTATCATTGTAATATTATCTTTTAAGACATTATTTTCATTGACATAATGTATTAAATAATGTTTGATAATTAGCAAACTTTATTTGCAAATGTTAAGTTTGATTGATACTAAATTGTCACACAAAGAACTTTGACAATATAAATGTGTAGATGGTATCACAAGTTGTACTAGCCTTTTTATATATTACTAGCTTCTCTCGCGCAGTTTCACCCGCAGCTCAGCTCCATTTAATCGTAGCATGATGTTTTATCGCCTATAGCACTCAGGAACATTGTAGCTATCTATCAGTGAAAGAATTTTGGCAATCCGACCAGTAGTTCCAAAGATATCCCCCCTACATACAAACTTACAAATTTTCCCTCTTTATAATATTACTATAGATTGAAGACTATAATCTATTTGCCTGAGTTACAAGGCAAGTACAATAATATACCACAGACTGTCTGGAGCAGTTGGTTTATAGTCAGTAAGGGTCTGAAACTCCTTGTCCCACTCAGAGAGAGAGAGAGAGAGAGAGAGAGAAGATATTTGATGATATTCTCCCTACAAAAAAAAAGACTAAGTAATCTATCTCTACATCAAATCTCATACAGATCCCTTCAGTAGTTTTCACAGAAAAAAGTATCAAATATTCATCCATACTTACAAATATTCAGGTTTGAAATATAAATAGTATTATTACTCTAAGAGCATTCTATACATCACTATAAGAACTGTTATTAGGTCAGATTTCAAACAAAAATAATAAACAATTAGGTCATTTATTGTTCAATTAAATCTTTATCTTAAGACAATTAGAATAAGGATCGAAATTCACTGCATTAGGCTAAAAGATCAAGTGAAATATAATTATTTTTAATATAAGTTGCTGATTTAGTTATATGTATGTAACTATGCCAAGCTATTTTTAATCTTATCACTATCACATTAAGGTTACTGGTCTCTGCAACAGTTTGTTATGCTTATAATGTCATTCTTATGCCTTTGTAATAGAATTCAAAATGATTGAAATTGGAATTTGTGTGTCAGTGAAGTTAGGTGCATGTGAAAATACTATACAACACATAAATTCACTTTAGTTTTCTATGAGACTGTGGTGTCAATGTGAAAGAGCTATGTATTATTTATTTATCTGTCTTTCTTTATAGGCTAGTTAATAATTGTTTATATGTATTTTGGAGCAAATAAGCCAATTGCACTGTACTGAAACCAGGGAAAACTGGCGCGAAAGATTGCTTGCGTTGTTTTTCCAGTTAACCATATCTAATACCATATTCTTAATAGGTAGGTAGGGTATCTTAATACCATATGGCCAATTTTGTCCATCGCTAAAAAGCTGGTAATACACTTTTAACGCTAGTGTTGTCATTGTTCATTTGCGACGCCGATTTATAAAAAAAAATAACACTCCGGTCCAGTCAACATATGGTGAGGAAACTCGGCTCTTCCATTTACTACACGGTTGGTACGGTGGCTGAGCAACTGGCTGCCGTGCGACGTGTCGCGGGTTCGATTCACGTACGGGACAACTCATTGTGTGATCAACAAATTGTTGTTTCGGGTCTGGGTGTCATGTGTATGTGAAATTGTATGTTTTTAAAGGCACCCACGACACAGGAGAAAATCCTAGTGTGGACGCCAGATGCACAATGTCTGTGACGGGCCCTTATTGATGACCAGCGTTCGAGTCGTGACGGTGCGACTTAAAACTAGTAGGGCTTTTCTCAGTTTAGTGTGGGAGAGCCATGCTTCGGCACGAATGGGTCGGCTCGACCGGAGTGATACCACGGCCTCACAGAAAACCGGCGGGAAACAACCACAGCGTTCTGTTTCACCGTGTGAGTGAGGTTACCAGAGCCCCAGTCCTTGCCCTCCCCCGATCCCTTTCCAATCCCTAAATCTCCAAAACCCTAATCCCTAAAAGGTCGGCAACGCACTCGTAACTCCTCTGTTGCTCGTTAGGTAATCTGTCTGCTCGTTTGCCTACCAATTACATAAAAAAAAATCACGTGATCTTCAATAAATTCAATGTTATGCTTATTATTTTATTTCTTTAATATTGACAGAGTGAAAAATCAAATAAAAAGGCGAAGAAGAGAAAAAAACAAAAGCATGTTAAGGATAAACCGGGAAAAGGCAGGTCGTTCCGGTGCACAGTCTGTTCTGCGGAGTTTGACACTGCCGGAGCACTGAAGAAACATGGATTAGAACAACACCAAGTTAAAACAAGGTAATTATTACACTACATTAATAAAGAAAGAATAGTACATTATGGTACTTACAAGTGTTTAATGTTGATTGAGGCCCCAGCCGTCAGGCGAGCGCGAGGCAACTATCCTGCTCGCGGCCCAGCCGCCGCAGTAGGGGACATTCCGTGGCCGGAGATCATCTCTCGATCCCCGAGCGGCCACCGTAAGCGCGGGTCTGCGGATGGCGAGTAAGGGAAGCTCGCCGCCCGACCAGAACTAGACCCGAGCGTACGGCGCGTAGCGTTTCGCGCTCGCCTCAAAGAGCCAATAGACCACTACAGACGGGGCCCAATAGGGCTGGTGTTCAGCCGGGATTGCGGGGTAAGCGCAATGAGGCACCGTGACCTCGGCCCAGAGCAGGAGAAGGAACGGAGGGTTTTTAGTCAGTAAGAGTCTGACACTCTCTCTCGCCTTACTCTGGGCGGGAGAAGTCATTGGATGATTTTCCCCTGACAAAAAAAAGCCGTCAGGCGAGTGTCTTAAGGAGCCGAGGACGGTAGTCATCAATACAAACGTGTATCATACGAAGGTTTCAACACAATTCTGAATAAAATAATACCAGACTTAAACAAAAAACTTCAAAAGAGAAAACCAGACGAGTTGTGAAAAATGTTTAGTAATGGTGGGAAATAATATCAGATTTGAATGCGCGCCATAGACTAAAAAATATGTTTCGTTTTTATTGGACTTTTCGCAGATAGCATTTTAGCGCAAGTGTAAGAGTAACACAACCAATAATAAAAAAAATTAAGTACTCATTAGTGAATAATAGTAATGAAAAATCACAGTTTGATTTATAGGTGTCTTTACGTGCATATTTGCCGCGAGATTACACACTCCTTATGAGGCAGTGTGTTGTTATTTGGCAATAAGCACGCCATACCATGCACCAAAAGAGAATAATAAAAACAATCAACAAAAACGTTATAAAGTTAAGTGATTTTGAATGAAATGAAGTGAAAATAGATAAATAATATCTCCCATAGATATTAATGCATAAATATCATGTCCCATTTAATTTAAATTGAAGTTGTCAAGGGACATCAGCCTCCTATATGCCTCCCAAATGACCGGGTACTATGATACCGTGATTGGCAAAGAAAAACAATAATAAAAAAAAAGAAACATCATTTATTCAGCTCCAAGTACGGCTAAATATTAATAGAAACTAAACAAATATACAAAAAGTTACAAACTAAATTTTAACAATAACATAGTGAAATAAAAATATGTTTTTTTTCAGGCATAAATGTGAGATATGCGGTCGGTATTTTAAAAAGGCTTTTAGTCTACGTATGCATAACAAGGTTCACATGGAGAAGACGGCTCCGCAGTGCCAGTTGTGCGGTATGGTTTTCAATAACAAGAGTTATTTGGTGAGTTCAATTTTTTTGTGTATAATGTTGCGTAAACTAGGATTTTCTCCTGCGCCATAGGTGCGTTTACAAACATACAATTTCACATACACATTACACACAGACCCGGAACAACAATTTGTGGACCAGATAAAGAATTGTTCCGTACGGGAATTGAACCTTCGACACGTTTCGCGGCAGCCAGTTGCCTAGTCTCCGAGCCAGACAAACGTATATTACCTGAAGGTGGAAAGGGAAGGTGGTCAGGGATCGGATCAGCGATGCCCAATGGACAACCGTTTAAGTGTTGG